TAAATTATATTAAATTATTAAAAAGTATATTTATTTAAAAGAAAAGTTTAATTAATTAAAATTAATCTAATAATATTAAGATTATAATATATTAATAGTTATTATTTATTATTTTTTAATTATAAATAAGGGTTTAATTAATTCTAAGATCAGATAATATATAATTTAACTATATAATTTTAAGAATATAATTAGTAATCTATATCTAAACCTTTAATATTATAAAGAAAAATTAAAAAATTAAATTTTTAGTCTAGATATAGATATTAATCTTAGAAAAAACTCTACTAATAGAAGTTATTTAATAGCTAGATATAAAAACCTAACTATAGCTTCTAAAAGGAAAAACTATTATTTAATAATAATAATTATTTTTTCTTTCTAATTTAAAGCTTATTATAATTAATTAATTAATTATATCTTTATTAATTATTTAATTATTTAATTAAATTAATTAATTATATCTCTTTATCTTATCTTAATTAATTAATTAATTATATCTAATAGATATACTAATTATAAGATAGTTATCTATATAGCTATTCTTATTTATATAGCTTCTATTATTATAAATAATATTAATCTTAATAAAATAATAAAAATAGCTAGAGGAAATAATATATAGTTCTTTACTAAGTATATTAAATATATATCCCTCTAAATAATTAAAAGCTTACTTATAGTAATAAACCTACTTTTAATAGCTTAGATCTAGTAATTATATTTACTAGGTCTAGCTTTATATATAGCTAGTAATTACTATATACTAATAGTACTTAAAGTAGATAAGAAATAACTAGAGAAGAAGTTATATCTTATTAATAGCTATCTACTTATATATATATATTATAATATAAGTTATTCTTTATAGTTCTAATATATTCTATATTATTTTATATTAATTAAGATTTTTAAAAATTAGTTATTTAATATTAAGTTTTTTTTAGTTTTAAAATAGTTTAAGTTTAAATTAAAGTATATTAAAATTTATTTTAGTTTAATTTAAAATATATATATTTAGAAATTAGAAAGTTAGTTACTTTAGTTATTAATTAATCTTATATCTATAAGTATAATATAGATTTACTATAGAGGTTTTTTAAATATAGATTTAATTAAACCTAATATTTATTTATACTCTATTAGTTATATAATATAATAATATTAATAGTTATTAGATTTTTAAATAAATATATAATAGCTAATTATAAGTTACTATATACTAATTAAATAATATAATATTATTATATATTATACTTTTTTTTTTATATATTATAATTTAAATCTATAAAATATATATATTATATTTTTATAAGAAGAGATTTAGCTAAATCCTTATAGCTTTACTTATCTTTAGAACTACTTATATATATTAACTTATAAGTTAGATATAATAATAAGAGCTAGTTCTTTTAAATACCGAACTCAGTATACTTACTTAGATATAGAACCGAGTATTATAAATAGATTGAATATTTCCCTCTCTAATAGATTTCAAAATAAGCCACTCTCCGAGATATATAAAGTCAGGAAGTAAATACCAAGGAAGAGGGGTTGGGGTATCTGAAGGGTGTGATGATAAGATCCCCGCGAATTAGAGGCGCTCTAACCGAAGCACTGACTCATGTCACTTCGCCTCCGCTCCGCATACGTAATTCGCTCATCCGCTCACGACAGACTTTGACCAGACCTTCCCCATGATCCAACCACGACTTCCATCCAGGCTTTGCCAGTCCCATCAGCTATGATGCCGGGGGAGACAGAACCACGGCAGTATAGATTCGTCGGCGCCTACAGCCGCAAGAGACGGCGCCGGAATGCACCGCTCGGCGAAGGCGCTGAGGCTTCACACGCCCAGCTGCGAGCGTCGACCTCTGCGTCTGATATCGTAACCGCATCTGCACCAATTTCCAAGGGTGTCATTGAGGAGCAAGGGGCTCGTATTGCCACGCCCACCAACCCACCCCCTGCAACGACTTGCGTGCTTCAGATCCCTCCGCCTCTTGCAGAGGCTGCTTTAATCGTACAAGAATATGCCCATTCTATTGACAATATTCTAATGCCTTCAATCTTACCTCCTCCCGAGGATGCGAGTCCGCCCGGCCCTGTGGATTGGTCTTACTCATCCTTCATGAACTCTTCATTTGACCCATCCTTCTCTCCAGCAGCAGTATTTGACACTCCACACGACCATGCCCAGGCCCAGACGCACCTTGATATTGACATACCACCAAGAAGAGAGACTCCTTTATCCCCTGATTCACCACAAGACGATGTCGCCTATCCAGAGACTCCTTCCCACGGCGAACCACCACCCCAACCCGTGGAAAGCCCTGGAATCGCCCTATCACTTCCCAATCCTGAGCAGATAGTGTGTAACAACCGCGTCACGGTTTCAGACCTCGTCGCCCGATGTATGTGCCATGCCCAATCCTTACCTTTACCAGCCGGAATTCTAATTTGAGAGTGTAGATGACAAAGAGTTCTGCGTCATGCCTCTAACTCATGACTTTGATGCCAACCCGTTCCGCTTCGACACGAAATCCTACCGAAATTCAAAACTCCTATTCCATTCTATTCTAGCCCTCTCATATAAACACATCAACCGCGAGACCGGCTCTTGCGCGGACGAGGCCAGAACCTACAAGACGAGGGCCTTGCAGATGCTTCACGATACTGAAAGTGCGTCAACAGGCACGGCTCTTGCAACAACCTTTCTCGATGCTCTATTGATTATGATGACCCTGGACGTAAGCTCGTGCCGACCCCATCCATTCCTTGACTTTGCCTTCCCGCGAAGATACACCAGCTAAGTACAGTAAAGTGCGCAACATCGGCCTATGGGCCTTGGACTTGGTATCTGAAACGCGCATATAAGATGATGCAAGCTACCAAGTCTTTGAATATCGAGGTCACGCCACGCATGCGCGCGCGAATGGACATGCTAGTATGGTATGCGACTTAGCAACAACACCCATTCGTTTGGATGAGTCTCTCTGACGTAACTAGGTGGGACGTCACACTTGCGTTGACAAGCCGACAGGGCTTCGTGTTGCCCGAATCTGCCATCGTCGCCCTCTTCAACCAGGACAAGAGCAAGAACGAGACATTTTACGACGTGTCAGGCTGCCCTGAGGCTCTTTTCCGACACATGATCCGTCTTGGGTCGTACGCTAGAGAATTCGAGCTTGTATCTAGCATGACGTGTGCAAAATTCGATATTGAGCCAGTGCTTGAGGTAGAGAAACAAATCACGGAGTGGAGGGACCCGGACTACGAGGATCGCCCGGAACAGTACGATTTCACGCTATCTTCTGAACAGATTTGCGACATCGAGGCCATGGCTCAATACAAGGAAGATCTTCATCATTGCGCCGAGGCCTGGCGGTACTGTCTTCTCATCTACATTGGCCGCGTCTTTCGGTGGCAGCGCGATCAGCCGGCTCAACCGATCCTCGGCTTTCTAGCCCGTAAAACCTTCAGACACGTCACCTGCTGCCGCTACACGTCGCAACTCCAGAAGCAGCTCCTCCTTCCTGTTTTCTTGGCAGGTTGCGAGACGAATGATGAGCATCTGCGCGAAGCCGCGTTGTCGTACTGCAAATGGTGGAGCGACAAGACGAAATACGACATGTTCCTCACAACCCACTCGCTGCTGCAAGAGTTCTGGTCTGATGATAACCATGAGCCTTGGTGGGGATCATTTTTAGATAAGAAGACGAGGTCGAGTGATGGGAGTGCGGATTCACGACAGTATTTATTTGGGTGAGCCTACTGGTGTGTAGGTTGTGGGCCAAGATTGGATACTTGATTTGGAATTAAGTGCTTCTTCCCAAGTTGGTCTAAGCAGAACAGTATCATGGTTGCTTTTATTCTTTACGAAGTAGCGTTTCAACGGAATATAGCTCAGGACTACTTTCACGCATCTTGGTGGCCGAAAGAGCCATGAACTTACAGCCTCGCAAGTCGTGGGCCAGTTTCTGCATGTTCTTCTGGGATTGAGCGTTATTATAATGCAAATGTTGCAGTAAATATGACCTACATACTGAATTAAAGGGAAAAGAATCTATATCTCTCTGTCTCGGTGTATTTGAGAGCAACTATGTACTCAAAGTGAAGAAGAGGGTTGGAAGAGACAGGTCATGGGCATTGTACAGTTGTGTTTCTCTTCTTCCCCTCCGAAAAGCATCGCCAGTTCTTCCGTGCGGCTAATTGGGCTACTGCCGGATCCGGTAGAGAGCCAGTGGTGGCAAAACTAAATCGCATCTTTATCAACCACACTACTACCTGAATAGGAAATACTGAGAGGAGATACTGAGGTAATCGAATGGCCTCGGTTGATCTTGGAGATACGGATAATCGTGGGGTATGTTGGAGTTGCAGCTACTTAAGCAATCGATCACATTGTACTCTAGATGCAAGAGACCAGCATCCTTGCCTGCACAAGTTCCGCATTCACATCATTCGTGGAAACACATCAAGTTCACAGTCAACATCTTCATTCGTCAAAATGGCCACCATGGACACTGTCTTCGCCGGCTACGCCGAGCGACAGAAGGCTCTCGAGGCCAGCCAAGCCTCAAACCCATATGCCAAAGGCATCGCCTGGGTCGAAGGCGAGCTCGTGCCTTTACACCAAGCTCGCATTCCCCTCCTTGACCAGGGTTTCATGCATAGCGACCTCACATATGACGTCCCCTCCGTCTGGGACGGCCGGTTTTTCCGCCTGGACGAACACCTGGACCGTCTAGATGCGAGCTGCAAGAAGATGCGTCTCCGCCTGCCTCTTGACCGGGACACAGTCAAGAAAACACTATGTGACATGGTCGTCAAGAGCGGTATCCGCGATGCCTTTGTCGAGCTGATTGTCACGCGCGGTCTTACCGGCGTCCGTGGCGCTCGTCCCGAGGAGCTCCTGAATAACAACCTCTACATGTTCATCCAGCCGTACGTCTGGGTCATGGAACCCGAGGACCAATATAATGGCGGCCGCGCTATTGTCGCCCGAACTGTGCGACGAGTGCCCCCCGGCTCTATCGACCCAACCATCAAGAACCTGCAGTGGGGTGACTTGGTCCGCGGTTTGTTCGAGGCCAATGACCGTGGTGCGACTTACCCCTTCTTGACGGATGGTGACGCCAACCTCACTGAGGGATCTGGGTTCAACATTGTTCTGATCAAGAATGGTATCCTTTACACCCCTGATCGTGGTGTTCTGCAGGGCATCACCCGTAAGAGCGTTATTGATGCCGCGCACTCACTTGGCTATGAAATCCGTGTTGAGCATGTTCCTGTGGAAGCCACTTATCAGGCCGACGAGATCCTGATGTGCACAACTGCCGGCGGTATCATGCCTATTACTACTTTGGATGATAAGAAGGTTCAGGATGGCAAGGTTGGCCCCATCACGAAGGCCATCTGGGATAGATACTGGGCTATGCATTGGGAGGATAAGTTCAGCTTCAAGATTGATTTTTAAGTGTATGATAGAATTCTAAGAACCAAATCAAAAAAGACGACTATGCATTTGTAACATATTTCTTACTGCTGTCGAACGAAGGGCACGGATTATGTACGTAGAATGGCGCTGACTACACTGGCACCGTCTACCGGAAGAGAGCAGACTTCCGATCACTACATGCTGCATTTATTTTGGCAGATTACCCAATGGGTCCCGGAGTCAAGAAGTATTACTAGCGCTGCTATCCCACACATGCTTAATGATGGCGGGCCGTATCACGAGCTCATTTTCGATCCCTCATCTTCTCACCCCCTCAACATGAAGGCAAACCATCACTAAACAGGAACTTCCAGATCAGGTATTACCGTCTGGTGGGGTTGCAGACCTTAATTCCTATCTGGGACTTAGTTTTATCACCCCTGGGGTAAATATTACGGATCACGGCGAGAGCCGGGCCAAACCACACCCATTGGCGGCGCAGGATTGCACTCACGATGTACAGAACACCATAAAGCGACATATCCAGGATAATACGATCATTCGGATGAGGCCTAAGATTTTTTCTATTGAGTGAACTTATATAGTATTGATTTTTATGCTCTCATCTTCACATCCGCCCAATCCAATCTCAGTTCCATTCCACAACACGACCCTACCGAAGAGATAAACAAGAGCAGCCTTAGTTGACTGCCACCATGCCTTCTCAAGACAATATTGTCATTATTGGGTATGTTAACACTAAGAACATGAAGGAGCAGGAGATTTACCTCTAACATTGATTAGCGCAGGTATCATTGGCCTCGATGTCGCGCTTGTCCTCGCCGAAAGAGGATATGGGAAGCAAATCACTGTCATCGCGGAGTATCTTCCAGGTGACACCGCCATAGCCTATACATCACCATGGTAATTACACCTGCCCCCAAAGTGAAACATCCTACTAAGATAGTCTCATTGTGAAGGGCTGGTTGTAACTTTTCTGCCATCTCCGGTTCGGATGCCAATGCATTAAAGTGGGATAGGTTGGGATATACGCATCTGAGCAAGCTTGCCTCGGAGAAGCCTGAAGCAACCCATGTCCAACGCACGCCGTCCACAGAGTTGTGGGATGACGATGTGCCGCACGAAAAGATCAAGGCCATGTCGGAGTACCTGGAAGACGTCAGTGACTCAAGTATGTTTTGGTTACCTCCCAATACTAACAGATACTGCACAGTTCCGGGTACTCCCAAACAATGAACTACCCCAAGGTGTCAAGTTCGCGGCATCCTTCACAACATTGACTGTCAATGCGCCAAAGCATCTTCTCTACTTGTACAACCGGCTGAGAGACGACTATAATGTCCGTTTTGTACGGCAGAAACTTCCGGATATCCAGACCGCCTTCTCCAGCTCCTCCACCAAGGTCGTGTTCAACTGCACCGGCAATGCCGCTCGGACACTACCTGGTGTAGAGGATGCAAAGTGCTATCCCACCCGCGGGCAGGTTCTGTTGACAGCTGCACCCGAAGTGCGAACAAATATCATGCGGCACGGTAAAGACTATGAAACATATGTTATTCCACGACCCAACTCGAATGGGCATGTGATTCTGGGTGGGTATATGCAAAAAGGCAATGGGTAAGTAATGACTTCCAGATCCTGCATGCTACTGGCTATCTAATCACGGTTGTAAAGTGACGGATCAACCTACGCGTATGAAACAGAGTCGATTCTGCAACGGACCAAGGAACTCAGTGAAGAGGTTAGGAGAAGCAACCCAGAGGTCATTATTGCTGTCGCTGGGCTGAGACCATCGCGCGAAGGAGGTGCTCGAGTGGAGAGGGAGATTCTGTCCATTTCTGGCCAGAAGCGTACAATTATTCACAACTATGGTGCTGGCGGGACTGGCTTTCAGGCTGGGTACGGCATGGCAGTGGATGCTGTGAAGGCTGCAGAGTCACTGCTTTTGGAGATGTCGGGAGGCTTTCGCTCTAGATTGTAAATGAACGGGGATATTAATAAACAAGAGCGTCCCATGACTATTCGCAAGGGCCAGCAAGTATAGCACATTGGCGATTCTTTTCATTTTGCCATGTGCATGGCTATGTGGACGGAGACGAATAACTCGCAACTGAAGATGTAATATTTGCCCAGACTTAAACCGTCGTGTGCTTCAGAGTCTATACTCTTGTCGCTACTGAACGTATTATAACCTAGGTAGAATGCTATGTCCCCGGTATATAGAGATAAAAGCCTGCTATAAATAAAGGGCTGTTCTTAGTGTGCTCCCGATGTCTCTATTCTCAAAGTCGACCGTTTATCTTAGACTTTGATAGAGATGATGTTGTCGCTAAAAGGCCGTCAGCGTTGGATTACCCACGATAAAGCATAAGGTTAAAAACAACTCACGACCGCTTGCCGGTTTCAGACCCGGCATCATCCACGCCGTTCACAGTATCGAAGGCGCGTGTCTGCGCACGATGCGCCCGAGTAACCTTTATCGCGTTGAGCCAGGAGCCTTCGAAGATCTTATCGACCTCCTCGACACTGAGACCCGCGATTTCAGGCACCATCAAGTAGATGTAAATCAAGCCGAGGACACACCAGCCAGCGAAGAAAAGGAAAGCACCCCAGTTGTTTGTGTTGTGCAAAAGACTGGGGAGGGACTGTTTGATAGCGAAGATGAACAGCCAGTGGAATGTCTGTCCGACGGCACCACCAAACGAACGGATTCTATCAGGCCAAAGCTCGCCACCAAAGACGTATGGTAGAATGAAGAGGCCTAGACATGCATACAGCTCGGTCAGCAATAGATCTTAGGTAGCGTCTTTGAAAAGTAGACGTGTGTGGCGGCCAAAACTTACCGACAGCGTAGCCGAAGGCATGTACGAAAAGAGCTGCAATAGCAGCCTGGCCAGAGGCGGCATTCGTCTGGCCCTGCTGCTGGTATTTGATAAAGACAGCAATATAGACATGTGAGATGGTCTGGAAGGCGATTCCGATGAACAGGGAGCGGCGACGTCCAATAATGTCGATAAAGAAGAAGGATGCAATCAGACTGAACCAAAGCTTGGAGAAAGCATACATGGAGCTAAGGAAAATGGAGTATTGGGTATCACTAGCGTGTCCCAAGAGCTTCATGATAGGGATAAAGTAGCTGGTAACCGAATTGGCACCAGAGAGCTGGGCAAGGGCATAGCATATCGTGACTTGCTGGAGACGGCGAAGATTTGAGCCAACGGTAAAGGTTTCCTTGGCTACAACCCAGAGGCTAGGCTTGCCACCGAAATCACCATGGGCTGCAGCGATAGATACTTCCATGTCAGCTAGTTCTCCGATGATACGCTCGTGGTACTGAGGCAGCTGGCGTAGCTTGGCCATCGTAGCCACCGCCTCCTCTCGACGCCCAACCATTAGCAGCCAGCGAGGTGACTCGGTGATGAAGAAACTAGCAAGGATGCAGAGAAACATAAAGCCAGAGACAGCAGCGGAGGGGATCTGATATTGGACCTTGCTGTTGGGGATGTGCTTTATAATGCCGAGAACGCAGAAGTTAGCAGTGGTAAGGGCTATACCCTGGCATACGGTATACCAGGAGGTAAGAAGACCGCGAATCTCCTTTGGCGAGATTTCAGCGATACTCATAGGTCCGATAACACTGAGGGAACCGATGCCCATCCCGGTGATAATACGTGCACCGTACAGGGCTCCCATATTCGGTGAGAAAATGGAAATAATCTGACCGATGATAAAGAGAAGTGTGTACGCTCGGTAGGCCCAGCGACGGCCGATGGTGTCATTAGCGAAGAAGGAGAGGGCTGCTCCGATCGCATACCCGATGTATATGATGGAGAGGTAGTTTGAGATAGCGTCAGCATCCGCTCCAGATGAAACGTTGAACTGCTTCTGAAAGCCCGGAAGGCTAGGTATCACAGCAGATGCGCCCTGCTCCCAGGCTGTACACAAGGAAGTTAGCCGGTCTGTTTTCTTTTGAAAGTGGTGTAGGCGCAACGCAGGTCTGGTTGTTGTTGTCATTGTCCGCAGTTTTCTCAGTTTCTTTAAAATACTTACTTAGAGGGATAGCTGCCAGAGCGTACAAAAAGGAGCTGAACCATAGAGGACCGTTGAAGATGATATGGCGAGGAGTCTCCTTGATCCCTTGTGCGTACTTGGCCACAGAGGACTTCTGGAATATGCTTGAGAAACCCATCGTTCCCCCTAAAGGTATACGAGCGATAAGGGGTGGGAAGCAGTATATGGGGAAGACGAAGGTGGAAGAAAGAAGTAGGTGACAGTTTCAGATTCTTTTCATCTCCTTAACCTAAGAAGGGGGTTGTTCAGGAAAGGATAAAGTATTGGGGAAGAAGCGATGAGGAAAAGAGAGATGAGAGACTGTCTTGTCGTGGCTTTATAAAGTCGACAGGCCTCAAGCCAAAAGGGCATGATAAGAGCCTTGCTTTTCCCCGGATTACGGATTACGATGCAAAGATCACAATCTAGACGGAGATCGTGGGGTGCCGTGGCACCGCAGTCCTAAGGCCGGGAAAAGCCTTCAGTCATGATGATAATGGAAGTTTCCGGTGTACCGGGCCGGAAAGATACGCTGGGGTTCCATGTCCCGGAAGTATACGGGCAGCCAATCATGAAAGCCCGTAGCCTCCCCCATGCTTATCAAGACCTTTTAGGACTGGCGTCGATCCAGGTCGGTATTATTGACTTGGACGAGCAGCCGCGGTATTGAGGTACCGTCTATTCCCCTGATTTTATCCGTCTAGTTGCATACAAGAGTTAGCTCCTTAGTAAGTCTATTTGTGTATTCTCCGAGATTCAACTACTTACTAATATTATATGTACCAGTAGCCTTTAAATTTGTTACACTTATGTCTTCCTCACCCTATTAGTCTTCTTCTTCTTATCCGCCTCCCTTGTTATTCGCCCTTCAGATCTTTCTCATTTGGTAATCAATTATGGGTATATCAAACCAGTCCTTGCCGGAATGTTACTCCCGTTATCTCGCCACCACACTTGGACGTGATAAGCTGTTGCGTCTAGTTCAGTATGCGTCTCAAGTGTGCTCCTGGTTCTTCCGTATGCAAGGCCTCGACCCCGCTGGCTTCAACCGAATCAAGGGTCATATGTCATTGACGCGGAAGATCCTGCGCCTGGGCAAGACAATCGACTTCTGGTTCGCGGCTTTGGACACCGCGAAGCGCGCGGGAACTACGGTATCGGCGGCGCCTCAGTTTGCCTCTATCGCCCAGTCTCTGGCCTTGATGTGCTACTGCACCCTTGATGCGGCCACGCTTCCAGAGGCAATGGGCTTCCCTATCCGTAAGCGCACGAAGAAGGTCCAAAAGCAGGCCACTGGGTTTTGGTGCCTGGCTATCATTTGCAGCCTTCTTGTCCGTGTACACACTCTATACACGTCTCCAAAGGTCCAGAAGGAGCTTGCTATCGAGAAGGAACCCAAAAAGTCCGAGACAGAGCAAGTCAAGAGGTACGTATCGCCATTTGAGAGAACCAATGAAGTTGAAGAAGATGAAAAGGAACTCCACATATCAGATATTCCTCCAAGTCTCTCCCACCTCTTCCAATGGCCCTTTGTGCTGACAGTTCGGCCGCAGGATGTATGTAACTACCAAGACACTACTCCTTTCTGATCTGTGTGATCTATGGATTTGTCTATCTAGTATGGGGTTTGCCAAGTCCAACGACGGTCTGCTGGGCCTGTGCGGGATGACTAGTAGTTTAATTGGGGTTTCTCAACAGTGGAAGGCAACGCGCTATAGATTTAGTTAATAACGAACAAGATGCACGGCCGGCATAGCTCAATTCATGGCCTTGGCAAGATTATGGGGAAATGTACGTTTGATCGGGTGGCAATAATATCACTGCTGGTTACCTAGATGTTCCAGAGGACAATCCCTGTCCTGAATTCATCCCATGCCAAGCTGTTAGACACACATTATCCTACAATACGGGCCAAGCCTAACTTCTGCTTCCAATCCACATGCTGGCTTGACTTGGCGAATTTTAGTCCATCAAGAATGTAATTGTGATCTCGTTCTAAAGAAATAAAACTACCTCTTTTACGGGGTCGAATTTCGCAAAAGTGAGCAACGAATTATCGCTAGAAGATGAGACATATAGGGTAAGATCATCAAGAGTGGATGTTGTCGGGAAACTTCCGAGCAAGCTGAGATGCTAATTTCCTACTAAGACTTGGCAACTCACGTGATAAGAAACTTACAGTAGCTTATCCGGAAGTTTCCAGACCATCCATCGGAAAATGGATACCCTTACGTGATTCCTCGCTTGATAGTTTTGACCAAGGGCGCCTCGTCTGTAGGAAACTACAGTCGCCAATCTTACCCCTCGTCTCGATCCTCATTCCCCCTCCCCACGTGTTACTATCCTGACAACGCTTGGAGAGACAGAGCGGACCTTGTACGGGTCTGTGCTGGTGACATAATGCAGCCTCCGAGAACGGGGACAGGTCATGTCAGACGTCGCCGAGGGCGGAACAGTGGTCCAAGAGCCCTGCAGGCGTGTCTGCACTGCAAAGAGAAGAAACTCAAGGTGAGTTCCATTATTGAACCACGCTACCTCTTGGGGCACACGCCATGGCTTCAGTAGTGGTGATGATGATGGTGATGGTGATGGTGATGAGCTATAATGACACGAGGTCGCGATATTAGTGTGATGACCAGGTGCCGGCTTGCAGTCATTGTAAGAGACTGAGTATCTGTAAGTCTAGTCCTCCATCGACTTAGATCACCTACCTCATCAACCATCTCGAACCAGAGTTCCTTGCCGCCGCTTTCTAACACGTTTGTTCTAGCATGCCTCGTTCAAGATTCCCAGACCAGTCGCCCCAGGCCTCGAAACTATGTCGAGCTTCTCGAGGATCGCGTGGCCAGCTTGGAACAGATATCAACAACCACCACGGCGAGGACAGACTCCTCCTCCGTTCATCATTCTGGGACGGCGCAAAGCACGAGCAACGCCCCTGGGAGCACACCTTCGACGAATTACTACACTTCACCAGAGCAGGGAGGGGGACACACCAGCGGCGACCTGCCATCCAGAGTTGGGATGCTGGATTTCCGCACCTTGCAGATAGATCCCCAGTACCTGGGCTCTTCGTCTGCCTTTGCCTTCTCCCGCATCATAAGCCTCCCCCTGAATAGAAACCTGCCACCGTCGGCAGCAACAACAGGGCCAGCATTGGGGGACCAACCAGGCCTGACGGGGACGCCATGTCCTCTGCCAGACTATGACACTGCCATATCGTTGAGCAATGCCTACTTCAAATACATACACCCACAGTATCCCTTCCTGCACGAACCAACCTTTAGGACTTGGGAGGCCAAGGTATACGGTGCGTCACCAGAATCTATCCATACAGAGCTTTTTGGACTATCGCTGTTCTTCCTCAATATGGTAAGAAGCCGTGTCCACTACCCAGGTACCAAGCACGCTATTCATACAAAGCAGGCAAAGTTGTTGACTCTCATCACGTTTGATAGGTTTATGCCGTCGCGGCTCTCTTGAAAAACAACACAGATGCTTTTGCTGAGGTATGTTTGCATCTTCATCTCCCTTAAAATTGCCTTTACCATCATCCGAGCTTGTGGGGTGCTTGAAATAAGCTAATCATCCCTCTTTTCCATTGCAGCAACTATACACGTCTGCTCAGCTGCACTCAGATGCACTGGCAAATGATAGCTTGGAGTCCATTCAAGCTATCCTTCTCTGTGCCATGTACTCTCTACGGTCTTTGACCGGGCCTTCTCTCTGGTATGAATGCAAAACCCAACCTGGCCAAAGCCCCATCATCTCCGTCATGATCATCATCTTACTTTTACCATACTGTATATAGGGAGCTATCAGGACTTGCATTACGGAAGTGCATCGGACTAGGCTACCATCGTAGCGCCAAACGCCACGCTCCACCAGCCAACATGTTGCGGCACGAATTGCGCAAGAGGGTGTTCTGGGTGGCCCAAGGCCTCGACTGCACCATGGCCCTCCGTCTTGGGAGACCCCTCGGGATCCCTCTGCAGGAAATCGACGCTGAGCTTCCCGCTGATGTCAATGACTCCTGCATCTCCGAGATGGGTATCACAGCTGAGACTGACGCCTCGGGCGAGCCAGGTCAGCTCGGCAAGTCGACCATTACACACGCCAACCACGTTTTCAGGCTTCGCATGATACAGGCCCGGATCTGCACCTCTCTGTTCTCTGACACGGCTAGGCTGAGTGTCCACGACACGGCATACCAGACTCGAATACAACAGCTGCGCGCGGATCTGGATCAATGGCATGCGACAGCCTCGCCTACAACAAAACCATTAACGATCGACGATCTCACCATGTTCAACAGCACTGAGTGGTACGACATGAACTACAGCTATACGATTCTTTTACTCTATCGCAACCAATTAGAAACGTATGGACCATCGTCGGAACAGATATTCTCGGAATGCATCCGCGCTTCCCGGAGTGTATGCCAGGGGTATCGCCGTTTATACATTGGGCCTAATAGGCGTTACACGTGGGGCACCTTGTCCTGCCTGTTCTTGGCCGGCCTGGTGTATCTACACTGTCTCTGGACCGTCCCTTCACCCTGGGATCTCGTGGCTCTCGACGATTTTAGTAAGACATGCACAGATAGCACCATGGTGCTCGTGGCCATAGCAGAAGGGTGGCGAGGGGCAGCACCGTACCGGGACACGTTTGAAGTCCTAGCCAGCCGAACACTGTCCATGATGATTAACCGGGACCGATCTCTGCCACTCCAAGAATTTCCTCCGCCAAGCTCCTCGACCAATCTTAGAGGAGAAGGGGGAGGAGGGGGAGATGGAGGGGGAGATCAGGTGGACTGGAACAACTGGCTGAGGGATGCCATAGAGGCAGGGACTTTGGATGGCCTAGATGGCTTCTTTGGAGGGTTTATTGAAGACTTTGGGAGAATTGACGATGTCGCCGGTTCCATTGTGTAGCTGTTGTACCATCTTTCATCTTGCCTCTAACATATACATGCACTCTACCTGAACCATGAAGCATGGTTGAATCTAAGTTCTAAAGCAGCGAATCGTCTTTCTGTTGGACTCATCCAATGTGAAAGGTCTCGACCAAGGGCCAGTTCAGTTGTCTGAATCTAGGCTGGCCTAAAGCCAAATTGCATAGAAATTTAATGCCCCTTTTGTCGCTCTTCCAGACCGGGGTTTTGTAGTTACGTCAGCGACTTGATGCACGAGATAAGAGATCATAACTGACGACCTATCAAAGCCAGTCCCGAGGAATCTGGAGGATTACATTACTTAATGATGCCGTTATCATTTCCCCAGAGGTTCGCAGCAACCGGGAGAAGCCCAAGACCAACCTGAAGGCCGGCAAGTGGAGTCGGAAACTTCCGAGCATCCCCAACCTTCTTTCGGGGCTGGGACGACCCGGGGAAGAGACCCGAGCCCATAGAATGAAAGACTGGGCAAGATGATTCTCTCCTCGAAATGTGTCTAGATTGGTATAAAGGTCGACACGGGTTCTAAACTAAAGCTTTGTTGCAATGAGACAAGAAAATTCTTAGCGGGATCTGTCTTTACTTTCGAATCATCCTGCGCGAACAACAACGACAACAGTATCAAAGACAACCATGAGTGATAAATCCAACCCTATTATCGTCATCGGAGCCGGCGTCGTCGGTGCATCCATCGCGTGGCACCTGACCAAGGAGAAGAAAAAGGACGTCATCATCATCGCAGGAGAGGTGGGCGGCGTTGTGACGCCAAAGTCGTTTTCCTGGCTCAATGCAGCCGGCACAACCACCAAATTCTACTATGATTTCCGACGCCGTTCCATGGCTCGTTGGGCCGAGATGAGCAAGGAGCTGCCCGACCTTCCGGTCTACTGGGGAGGCACCTTGACTTGCGACAAGACTCCCGCCGAGCGCACCGAGTTCCACGAGCGTCAGCAGAAATGGGGCGCCAACATTGAGCGCCTGGGCAAGGGAAGCCTGGCTGCGATCGAGCGGGAGGTGGACAGTGCCCAGTTCGACTCGGCTGAATGGGGCCTGTATGTTCCCGACGAGGGTGCGATCGAAGCACACGATGCCGCAGCTATGCTCGTTGCTGATGCTGAAGCACGAGGTGCCAAGGTCCTCCGCACGACTGCCACTGGATTCCTGAGGTCAAGCGACGGCAGGAGAATCGTAGGAGTGGTGACGGGCGCCGGGCACGTACGCGGTAGCCACGTCGTTGTGGCTGCTGGTCTTGCCAGCGTCGCATTGCTGGCAACTGAGAATATCAGGCTTCCTGTCAAGGGCACCGAGGGTCTGATTGTCAACTCGACGCCTAACAAGAAGCGATATCTCCACACGCTGCTCCGCTTGCCGGCAATGCACATGCGACAGACACTCGATGGGCGTATCCGCTTCGCTGCCAGCTTCTCGGGCGGTCCTCCGGGGGATGACCCTGAAGCCACTGCCAGAGAACTCTTCAAAGAGATGCAAAAGCTGTTAAAACATGGACATGAGCTCGAGTTCGGCGGTTATACGGTGGGAGTACGTCCTGATCCGGAGGATGGATATCCCATCCTCGGCTCTACGGGCCTAGATGGGTTGGATGTGGCGTGCATGCACTCTGGTGTGACGAACGCTGCGCTTGTCGGTCAGCTTCTGTCCAAGAAGATTCTATATGGCAACGAAGATCCAATGCTTCAATCCTATCGACTTGATCGGTTTCAGGGAAGTCGCTCAAAGCTTTAATTTATATTATTACTCGGGAGCAAGCAGCCTGGGAAGGCTTAATATCCTCTACTTTGCTAGATTGTTCGTGTGACTCGTGGAGCTTATGAGCTACTTATGTTATTATTTTCCTATCGGTGCAAGAGTCTTATAGGCATATCCCATATAAATTGTGACAAAGTAAGAAGCATATAGTGTACGTAGATTTAACGTAGGTATGCTAACTTAAGAGACATAACCAGGAGGCATAGATAACGAATACGCACCAACCCTTCCTCATTTTCCAATCAATTCATGGTAAATCCTCAAGGCTGAGACACTGCCAGTGATCCCACGAATAATGTTTCGCGAATACCGTGGAAGTAGTAATAAAAATCCTTAGGAGCTTTGGACATTCTGCTCGCTGAGCATGCTCCAGTCAATATTTGGACCCTCAAATGAACGGCGAACCGAGAACCACAAGGCCACTAGAATGATACCCATAAACCCGAGAACAACGGAAACGCTAAAGGACTTGTCAGTTTCTGTTCAGGTGCTAGCGGGTTGCATGGCGAACTTACTAATTCATCGAATCAGCTGACACTGGGATCGCATTTGGGAAACAGATGAACACGCCGATGGCGGTAACCCAAAGCGGAGTCCAGGCATTGCACAGGTAGCCGAAGACTTTGCCAAGTTTGAATGGTCGATCAGGGAGTCTGCTGCGACCATGGAACAAGGTAATGGCCTGTGGAACGACATATGAGATGTTGACTCCAAGGACAGCTGTAATAATGATGGAGTTGAAGGCTTGCGAGCTAGCAAGGTACAACACGCCGTAGATTATGCAGAATGCCACGGAGAGGAGGGTGGTGCGGACAGGGAATTCAAACTTGGGAGAGATGTGGTTCCAGTAGTTAGAGTATGGCAGCCCGCGCTGAATCGGTTAGCTTTAAGTAAAACAAAGGGGTCATTGATATCACATACGTCTCTGGAGAAGGCCCATGTAAGTCGGCCGCAAGTGATCCACTGGGAAGGCATGCACGCTATTTCAAGATCAGCCTTGTCTCTATACTGCCTAGTATATATGAACTTACTATAAAAGAGCACAACGAGAATCCCCTGGAGGCCGAGAGCGGCAGCTTCACTCCCAGTGGCCTGGTAAAAAGCTTCCAGGCTGGGAAGGTGGGCATTACGAACTGCGTCAAGATCCTTGATGCAAAACATCATGGCAATAATGAACGGAACCGAGGTGACTAAACCAATGAGGAGTGTAAGGTTCCTGAGCTGGTTAGTTGGGTAATATCTTGCAGGATGGGAGAGGACTCACATCGCCTTAGGTATGGCCTTTCCAGGGTGGTGCATCTCCTCTGCAACATGGATGACGGCATCCATACTGGCAAAGGCGTACATCGCATTGCCAACGCTCATGAGCCAGGCAACGCCATCGGGCCACCCACTTACTCCATCGAACTTGACAATGAAGCTGGGGTGGTTATATTCCTTGCACATGGCAAGGATCGTTACGGTAACGATGACGAACCCGGCAACAGAGAGGGCAAGGCATGTTTCGGTCCACTTGCCAAGGTGACGTTGAGGGATTGTGAAGATGGGAATTACTATAGGGCATTAGCTGCTGTTGTCTCTTCTTGCGGTTACCCAACTGATGGCGGTATAACCTGGTAGGGAAGCGAACTCACAGGTGAGTAGTATCAGTGCTACGTATAGCAAGAACGAATGCCATTGTTGAGGTTCGTAGTCGGGGTTCGCGAATACTATCATCCCAATGATGCACTGGACGTTGTTGGAGATGCCGGAGCAGGTAATGACCCACCACCCCAGGACACTGATAGTCCCAACGGCGAATGCGGCGAACTTTTTATGTTTCTTCGGAGCAAGGATATATGTGAAGTGGTATTGGCCTAGAAGTTTTCCAAGTTAGAATCAAGTGTCAAGTGAAGTAGAACTATGGATAGTATACTCACCCCCAGAAGATGGAAAAGCTGAGGCTTGTTCGGCGAGTCCAAGAACAACGAGCCACTGTACAGCGCATGCGACGATCAGCCCGAACACGGTTGCTTGAGGTCCGCCGTAGAGTAAGCTCTGTCCGAAGCAGCTGGCATAGGAAAGCCAGGAGTTGGTGATGCTGCGTGAGGTGGGAAAGTGTTAGGATTGACCATACATTGCGAGGGAACGCCAGGAGTCAGAACTGGGATATCACGTACCTGAACCCAAGTCCTAGGGTTCCGAGAAGGTTGAAGGATCGCTTCAGCACCGGAACATGGCCTTGAGCCATCAGGATGTTGTCGTCGACATCCTCAATCTTGCCGACGCCAACGTCCGACTCATTGCAGTTGGACATGTCTTTCGTAATTTCTTTGCTCATGATGGATACCAAAACAGCGAGTTGGGATAAGAAAGTAGTTGATGCTTGAAAGGGTGACTGAGGAAAGGACTGCTGAGTGATGGAATGCTGGGGTTGCAAGAGGCGACGAAACACGGCCTTTTTACCTTGGAAACGAATCTCGAGTCGGCAATCTCTAGCTCCTCCCCGTCACAGTCTCGTAGCCATCTATCCGAGGCCAAGACCGGTCGATAAGGTAGCCCTGGTCCACCCCCACAACTTATCAATGCCAAGGAGTGTGGGGAAGCTAGACGTCAAGCTGAGCCAAGCAAGATTAGACGGATCACTCGGACTCTCACAGTAGGAGATCGCACGGTGTAGGGGCCTGCCCTCCTCATTGGCCGCCGAACGCGGAGAGTCCTTAATACCTATTTAGGAAAAACGGTACGTCTCTCCAGGCTTAAAAGATGGCCTGTTGCCTCATGGACAACTCAAACTCCTCACTAGCGAGCGAGCACATCACTGGACAAGTGGATACAATGGCTGCACAACAGAAAGATAGCGAGATGCTTGAGCTCGGCAGGGGGTTGCATGGGACCCCCTGGTGTGAAGAGTACGAGAAAATGATCTCTGGAATGCTGTACGTTGTGTCCCCAATCTCAAACTGTTCTTCCCCAACCATGTACTGAACCCAGTATCTTCTCCTGGCTTGCAGGTATAACCCCTTACACCCGAGGCTTTTGGAGGGCCGCCACAATGCCCGCTGCAAGGCCTTCAAATACAACAACCTGGATCCAAACAGCGGAGACTACGAGCAAATTGCCGATAAGCGCACCGAGTTACTATCTGACATGCTTGGGAAGGTTGGCAAAGGTACATGCATCGAGACACCTTTTTACCCCGACTACGGTTGCAACGTCTTGATTGGTGTAAACTGTTTCATGAATTTCGGGTCAGTTCTTGAAGTAGTGTACCGACTGGTAACAAGATTCACCGTTGACTGACACACCAACAAATAGGCTGACCATCCTGGACACCAGCCTTGTCATTATTGGTGATAGGGTGCAAATGGGCCCCAATGTTCACATATACACTGCAGGCCACGAGACAAGTGTGCTCTCCCGCATCAAGTTTGTAGAGTTTGGCCACCCTATTCGCATCGAGGATGACTGCTGGATCGGGGGTAATGTCACCATTCTCCCTGGCGTTACTATTGGCCGGGGATGCACTGTTGGTGCTGGTGCAACAGTGACGAAGAGCTTGCCACCCTACTCCATCGCCTTGGGGTCGCCTGCCAGGGTCGTTAAGACAATTCCCTCGGTTGAGGAGGAGCTTGCCGATCCCGGCAACCCGTACCGTAACATGCCAGATAGAGACTAGAGAGAGTTGGAATGAATAAATCTCTACGAGTAGCTTGCTTGATCGAAATCTAAGAGCACGGTGTGATGCAGCTTTCATGCTCAATGACCCATACATACGATATTCTGTAGCCTGGTTCATGTGATGTGAACCTTCGGCATTCGATGTGAAGCATGACTTGAGATTAATGACGGTTCATTTAGTCACGTAACATTGGAAATGACATTATTTTATGTATATCACCCGCATAAGCTCTCATGTGAACGTGATTGCAAACTTTGCATCTATTTGATTGGCATATCTACTGGCTCTATTCCCACTCAACGCATATAGATTCTCACCCCTAACGAAAAATAGCAATGGGCAAGGTTTTGATCTCTTTGTGGTTGAAATTCTATGCTAGTCGAATCTGGACCTCGCTCATGCATCGAAAGTGGCTCCATGCATGGCTCTAGTGGTCCGCGATGGCTTCTGCTTGTAGTTCCAGATGCATCCCGGGGTTGACAAGTGCTGCGACCACCACCGAAGTCAATGTTGGTGTGTGACCAGGATATCGTTTCCGAAACAGGGCCAGCATCTTAGCCTCGTGCTCAGCATTTGTGAAGTACGCCACCAATTTGTGCGCGGTTGCGAGACCTTGACTAACCCCAGCATTCTTGAGAGCTGCGTCGAGGCAGGTAAATACGGCACTAAACTCATCTTCAATGGAGCTGGTAACTAGTTGTCCAGTTTTAATATCAACGCCAACGTGTCCCGTTGTGATGACTAGAGTGCCGCCCAGGGGAATCGCCACCGTAGACGCCAAAGAGGCGGAGCGCAACATTTCGCCCACAGGGCCAGGGGTGAATTGATATCGAGTCGAAGAAGCCATTGCTGTGAGGGGAGATAAGGAGCAAAGTCTTGTGTGAGCTTAGATGTTGGTTGGTTGTTCTACCGAGGATATCTGCCATTCCTATTCCTGCTGCATGTTACAGGAGTGCTTTGTATCTCAAAGATGAACGAGAACAACCTTACTTCCTATTCTGGTAGTTTTGCTCAGACACCAAAAAGCACTTGGAGTTGGTGGGAAGTGTCTAAGACCCACTCTGTGGCGACTCAGCTTCGGCAAAGATGCTTTGGCCAAGGAAGGTCTAGGCCAGAAGAATGCCGGAAGCAAACCCCTCACATACCGAACCAAGCAGACGATATAGCTTGCTTCTTACCTAGAAACCATAGCAACAACACCCCTGCTAGAAAGCACTTTACTCTGAGAATAGGAGCTTCCTCTCCAGATAGCATATTCCCTTACTTATTTCTAAACTATTCGGAACAAGGCGAAGATGTCCTCCCCACTATCTGCAGAGACAAAAGCTAAGCTGTGTGATATCATAGATGAGTATACATCTGGAAGAAGTAATCGCAAGATACCCGGTCTTATCTACACTGCCTTTCGGCGAGATGGAACAAGCATCTACCGACATAGCTCTGGCACCATCGGCATAAGGTCCAATGAGCCTGTGTCTTTTGATACCATATTTTGGCTGGCTTCCTTTACTAAGTTGGCCACTTCAGTTGCCTGCATGCAGCTGGTGGAACAGGGAGTCTTGCGGTTGGACGATGCTGATCAGATAGACAGCATCTGTCCGGAGCTGAGGGATGTCAAGGTTTTGACACGTGGAGCTTCAGAGAAGTTCGAATTGGTTGAGAAGAAGAGAAGAATATCACTTCGCATGCTGCTTAACCACACAGGTAAGAGTTTGAGTATGTTCATGAGCGAGACTTGCTTTGCTAAAGCCTCTATAGCTGGATTTGGTTACGCTTTCGAGGACCATAATCTGGCGGATTTCACCAGGCCGATTGGATCAGATGACTTTTCAGGGATAGCTGTGGAAAAGACCAACAGACCACTTGTTAACCAACCCGGAGAGACGTTTCAATACGGAACATCAATGGACTGGGTTGGAGTAATCATCGAACGTACTTCTGGAGTATCCCTGGACACTTACTTCAAGGCTAAAATTTTCGAGCCTCTCGGAATGAAAAGTGTGACATTTCATCCCTCTGCTGAGGCCAAGTCGAATTTGGCGTTCATGCATAGGAGGCTTGCGAATGGAAAGCTCACATATGCGGATCACCTCTATCGGCGCCCTCTGGTAGAGGAGAACGTTCCTTGCGCGGGAGGCCATGGATGCTTTGGGAAACCAGCAGAATTCGAGCGTGAGTCAAAACTAATATTAAACACAAAAGGAAGAAGAGTTAACAAACCCAACCAGGACTTATAGCGCTCTTATTGAATGACGGAACCGATCAGATCTCAGGTACAAAATTATTAGAACCTAGTACCGTTCAAGGTCTGTCACAATTGCAGCAACTCAACGGCAAGTATGTTGTTTATTAACACTCAGACTAGAGATGTTCAAGGACCAGATTCCCGACAAGCCGCGATTCAGTAATGTTTGTGTCCCAGTGGCAAAGCCCGAGCTGGCGAATCCAACTCCTCTTACCCCAATGCCGGATGATCACACCGAGGGCTGGGGCTTCTCCTTCTCCATCAGTCATTTCGCAGAGGCAACGGGTCGAGCTCCAGGATCCAGCTCGTGGGAAGGGCTCCCAAACCTCTATTGGTTTGCTGATCGGAAGAATAATATCGGTGGCATTATTGCAACCCAGATTCTTCCTTATGGAGGTAAGTAGAGCCCATGAGCCCCAGTAGCCACAGGTGAAAGATCGGTTAACTAAAGTTATGGTGGTAGACGCGCAAGTTCGTGAATGTTCAGATAGAGTGGAAACCGAGATTTACAAAGCCTTGACTTCGTAAGGGACAGGGTTGGCTTGGGAGATAGATAAACCTAAATTCTAGAAGATCATATGAATAAAACGAACTTCTAGCATTCTCCTTCTACCAATATGTTGAACCCAAGTCTTGCGAACGCCATCCAGACCTTAGACATTGCTGTGTCTCGTCTGAAATTCGGATGCATTATCTCCGAATGCCGGTTAGGGGCCAATCTCCGACCGTATCTAGCCTCTCATGGGATTGTTCGACCCGTATTTGGTAGTTTGCCTGATGGAGAGTTCGCCAGGCCGGTTTCGGTAGTATGATCAAAGCCCCACCGACTGGCATTTGCAACTAAAACTAGAACGACGTTCCAGACTTGCAATGTACCGTTGCCACTCTGCATACATCGGTGACGTATTCACTGGTGTCCAATTGTGGTTTTCCCAAGTGCAATCTCCAAGGACTGGAAAAGCATCACAACATTCATTGGAACCATGGGAAGTCCAAGCTGCGAGCGTGATGCGCAGTTCAAAGCGTTGACCGATGTCCTGCTTGGCGTTTCTCCTGAAATCTTCAGGCCGTTTGACATTTTCAGGTCCCGATATCCCTCAGCAGGTATAAAGATCGAGGTCGATATATTAGTCCCTAAACGAAGGACGGCGGCGATGGCTAGCCATCCTGTGATTGTTCGCATACATGGAGGCTTTTTAGTACGTGAGGATCCATCCCAACGAATATGGTTAAATCTGACAGGAGTTAGGTCACTGGCTCAAGTTTGTTTCCAGCCTGGTTCTCAAAATGGATTCTGGACTACGCAGAAGAGAATAATGCCATAATCGTCAGCCCCAACTATCGCTTACTGCCGGAGGTGAAAGGCCGCGATATTATACAAGACATGGCAAGTTTTTGGTCATGGCTTGGGGATGGCGGAGTTAATCAACATCTAAATTCCATCGGACGTCCCGATATATCGCTGAATCAATCCCAGCTTCTGTTGGCCGGTGAAAGTGCAGGTCAGTTTTCTACCTTTGAGAGAAAAGCAGTGAGACTTTCCACCTAACACGAGCCTATATCAATCAAGGCGGATACCTGGCGTTACAGTCGGTCATGTCAGGTTTTGTACGGCCAAACGGCATTATTGCCCTCTACCCAATGATTGACATGACCTCTCCCCATTATACAGAGAAATATTCGAAACCAATTGTAGGAGTGACAAACTATGGCGAACAAACAGTGGAGGAGTTTCTTTCTTCTACATTGGGAGCTGCACCCATAACCGAGGCAGATCCGCCATCCCGCCTGGCCGCTGCAATTGCCGCAGTTCAAAACGGAAGGTTCTTGGACCTTTTTGGTCGGGATGAGGATTTGTTCTTCCTTGAACGCCTTCGGAAAGGAACGCCTCTCGCCCAAGAATCTGGCACGCCTTTTTTTCCCCCAATATTCCTATTGCATGGAGAGGAGGACACCGCAGTCCCCGTTGAGGGCTCGATTAAATTACTGCGACTGCTGAGACAAGCAGATCCCGCTGCTAAAATATATGCAGCCATACGACCTGGGGATCACGGATTCGATTTCAAGGCTTCAACAGAAGAGCCCTGGCTGAGGGCGGGTTTAGAGTTTATCTCAGCCGCTTGGATAGAGAGTCAAGATCATATCTAGGCTTCATTTGTCTTTGAAGAAAAGAAAAGAAGAAGAAAAAGTTGTCATAAGGTTGTCAACCGGTGCACGCGAGCTCAGGGCTACCTTCCTCAATATGTTTTATCAATAACAGGTCATCACATACCCCTATAAAGGAGGCACGAAAAGTGCCAGATAGAGTAAAGAGAGGGACAAGGCGCATCGACAACCTGCATGTATCATAGATCAAATTCGAAACACCGAATATGGGCAGATAAGGTGCATGTCGAATTGGATGCGTGTTATGTTAGCTTTCAGAAAAGAAGTTAGATTTGTAGGATAAATATATCTATTCTCTTAGAGCTAACTACTGTTTATGTTCTACCACCTTTATAATCGCGTCGACAACTGAAGGATCTGACAACGTTGATACGTCTCCAAGCTGGTCAGCTTCACCCATGGTCACTTTGCGTAGAATGCGACGAATGATCTTTCCAGAGCGAGTTTTAGGGAGATCTGCGACGACGTATATAGACTTTGGTGTTGCAAACGGCCCGATGGATTTGCGAATGTGGAGCTTCAAGTCATTGCTAAGAGAAGCATCTCCTAGTGCCGTGTTGGCTTGTTTCTTTAGACTCACAAAGGCGACAACAGCCTGGCCAGTGATCTCGTCAGCTACGCCCACCACTGCCGACTCAGCAACCGCTGGGTGAGCAATCAAAGAAGCTTCAATCTCCGCCGTCGTTAGTCGATGACCACTGACATTGATGACATCGTCGACGCGGCCTCGAATCCAGAAATAGCCGTCTTCATCGCGGCTAGCACTGTCACCAGTGAACTAGATCAGGCTCATACGTATCAGTAAACGCTTCAATGAATAGTAAGCACTTTTTGGATCAAATATTAACTCACGTAGTATCCTTTGTACGCGCTCAGATATGTCTCATGGAACCTGCGGTGGTCACCCAAGATGGTTCGGGCCATACTAGGCCAAGGGGACTTAAATACCAAAACTCCATCCACATTAGGCTCTGGAATATCCTGTCCTGTGACAGGATCAACTATGGCAGCATCAATGCCAAAGAACGGCAAACATGCTGCACCGGGCTTTGTAGGAGTAACGCCGGCGAGAGGTGTGATAACATGGGAGCCAGTCTCCGTTTGCCAGTATGTCTTACCTCAGGTTAGCCAATATGCCTCATGCCAATGGTTACCTAGGAATAAATCGATCAACAGTGTGACTTACATCTACCACATGGCATCTACTCTTCCCAACTTCTTCGTCATACCATTTCCAGATATTTGGGGCAATGGGCTCGCCCACGGAACCGAGAACGCGAAGGTGTTCCATCTTGAAGCTGGACGGGGAGGACCCTGCTCTCTTGAGCAGTCGCAGGGCCGTTGGTGCCACGTAAAAGTGCGTAACACGATGCTTGTCGATGATTTCCCAGTACCTTGAATGAGTTGGAAAGGTTGGAGTTCCTTCAAAAACCACAGTGGATATACCGAGAAGTAAAGGGGCATACACAACATATGTATGGCCTGTAATCCAGCCCACGTCTCCGCAACAAAAGTAGCGGTCGTGATCATGAATATCAAAAACGTATTTTCCGGTAGAAGCAGCCCCTACCAAGTAGCCTCCTGTAGTATGAAGGATCCCCTTCGGTTTTCCGGTCGATCCTGATGTGTACAGGAGAAACAAGGGATCCTCCGAGTCCATGGGTTCAGCTGGGCAATAAGCGGGCCATTTCTCTACCTCCTCGTGCCACCAATAATCTCGCCCCTCAGTCCATGAAATGTTAGGGTTACCAGCCTTGAATACCAGGGTCTTCAAGTCGTCGATATCAGCTAACGCCTCATCAACTATCTTCTTCAAACCTATGGCCTTACCACCACGGCAGCTGATATCTGACGTGAGAATGATCTTGCTTTTCGAATCAACCACGCGATCCTTGATAGAACCGGAGGAGAAGCCAGCAAAGATGACGGAGTGAACGGCTCCAATACGAGCACACGCAAGGATGGCCACCAAGGCTTCAGGAATCATCGGCATGTATATGGAAACAACATCCCCTTTTCGGACTCCTAGGTCTTTCAAAACCCAGGACACTTTGCTGACCTGCGCCAATAGCTCGATGTACGTCAAGCTGCGTGGATCATCACCGTCATCGGTTTCATGGATAATGGCGTATTTTTCCGGATTCTTCAGGGCATGGCGATCCACACAGTTGACGCATGCGTTGAGTTTTCCACCCAGGAACCATGAAATATTACCCTTGTCAAGGGAGCCATGTTGAACAGTTTCAAAATCAGAGCTCCACGTGATCAGCTCCCGTGCCACATTGCCCCAGAATCTTTCTGGGTTGTTAATAGACTCTGCGTGCATTCTGAAATATTCATTCATGCCTTTTGCTGGTAAGAAATTGCACTTATCAAGGAGCAGGGGAGAGTGTGACATACTGCCGATATGAGCTTGACTTGGGTGATCTATTGCTGATGGCATTAGCATTTTAAGCAGACAATTGAACGGTTAAAGTCACAAACTTTGAGCAATCATTTTCGGGTGGCCTATTCATTCTCTTCTGTTAACGACTTTCGGTCGTTCGGTTCAAGCCTTATTGACATACCGATAATTGAGGCACCCTTGGCCTCCTCAGTCGTGAGCGAGGCACCCATGCTGTATCCTTGTTGGTGTTGGCTTGAATCAATTCGAGTTCGTTTTCTAGCGACAAAATTTGTAGATCAGTCGTTCAGGCCTTTATGCATTGAACTCCTGTTTCATAAGAATATCTCTAAAAGTTTTATGAAACAAAAGTTGGATAACTCCTCGTCTTCTCTACCTGACCATGCCTCGACTGATTAGCTCGTTTGGAAGTATTCAAGATGGCAACCAGAGTTTCTACTTTCTCCGGGACTAGCATTGGCAAACCCTCTCATGAGTAACATGTTGTTCCTAATTTGTGAAGAAGTGGAAACCTGGTGTCCTACTGCCGAATTGGGTATGATTGTTGGAATATGATCCATCCTAGCTTAAGGTAGTGTAAGGGGGTCAGTCTTGACTCTTTCATACTTAAAGTCGGATATTGATGACCGCTAACGCTGAATAGGTAGTTAAGACATCACCTGTAGACCCACCGTGGCACGTTTAGGGACTTGATTCCTAGTTAGGGAGTTAATTCCTATGTAGGGAATTGGTATGGTGCATTTAGCATGTCACTCGATCAGCCCTTGCAAATTTGGCTTCACCAATTACGCAATTGTAGGGTCAACCATAGGGGAAATACGAGCCCCCATTATCATTCTGTAGGGCAAGGAGTAACTGGAGTAGTGATACGCCACTTCCCCTATATCGTGGCTAGAACATGCTGGAGAGCACCGAACCTTAGGACTCGGCCAGTCTCAACGCCAACTACCACAACACGGGTGCATAAAGCATACATTGAATAGATTATCACTAACTAACCGTCAACGTCACCTCTAATTAACCAAAGAGATATTGCCGTGATTCTCCTGACCCCATATTGGCTCGGCTCTTGCTATCAATCACCGAACCCCACCAGGCGTGTGAATTATTTTGATTCCACACTTCCTGGAGCAATCCCTCGGCAGTAAGAAACATGTCGTACCGTGTTCGTTCTGTCCACCAGTTGCAATAGAAACGAACTGCGTCTCGTAGATGATTGTCCGAGGTCTCACAGCCTGCTAGGAATACTGGGAGAAGCAATTGCTTCTGAAGCATAGAAGTGTGTCTGCACGCTGACACATGGTTTAGTGTCTTCCGCGCGAGAAATTGAAGGATGGCTGGAGGAGGCTGGTCGCGCTGCCATTTGAAGACGCGTAAGATATATATGAGAAGCGCGTACCGCCATGCTTCGGCGCAGTGATGCAGGTCCTCTCTGTAATGCGCCGTTTCTGCCTCATCACAACCAGGGTTCGGTACGGCATTGTCGGCTAAGATGGGATAACCAGCACAGCTGTCTAACAGCTCTCCGTACTCGGCATCTTTCCATTCTCGCACAGTCTTTTCAACCTCAAGAACTGGTCCCAAATCGAATTTAGCGCAGGCCATGTCAGAGACAAGCTCGAACTCCCTCGCATAAGATCCAAGTCGCACCATAAGACGGAAAAGAGCCTCCGGACAGCCGGAGACACTGTAAAAGGTGGCGTCATCCCCATTATCGCGATTGAAGAGACTGAGAATGGTAGATTCGGAGAGAACACATCCTTGACGGCTAGTAAGGGACAAAGTTACGTCCCACCTATATTGGTCAATAAAAATCTCCGGCTTCATGTGAAGGAATGGGGATAGTACCAAACCAGCATTTCTATCCGGGCTTGCATTCTCGGGGTCTTCTTGACATTCAGAGACTCGGTTGCCTGTATCATTTTATGCGCCCGCTTCAAGTACCAATTCCACGGGCCATGGGCTGATATAGCACACTAAAGCTCATCATTAGTCGATGCCTGTCTTGTAATATCAAAGTAATGAGTATAGGTTCAAACTTACATCTAATGTCATGAGGATCAAAACAGCATCAAGGAAGTTGGCCTCAATGGGTGAAATATTTGTTTCGCCCTCCATATCGTTGAGCATTCTGAGTGCCTTTTTCTTATGGCGCTTGGCATCCACAGCATAATTGCCCGTGTCGCGATTAATGTGACGATAGGAGAGAGCCAATATAGAGTGAAGTAGAAGCTGTGAGCCACGTTTAGTTTCTTTGTCCACCCGGAACGGATTTGCCTCAAAGTCGTGCGTTAGTGGTGTGACGCAGAACTCTTGATCATCTGAAATCGCTCAAGTTAGCATAGCTTTGACCGATGAGATATGCCATGTCAATTTACATCTGATGAGGAGCTGTGTGATGGTGATGCCGATATTGCCAGAACCTTCATGCGAATCTAAGGCTGGCAACACAATACCGTCAAAGGAGTTCGATTGTCCACAGCCAACAGATGTGCCTTTTAGATCTCCGTCTAGATCCGGGTGAAGCTTGGGGCCATTTAGGTTATCAAGGGGTGATTCGTTGGCCGAAGAGTCATCCTCAAAGTGCATGAGAGGAAATTCCGGTGTAAAATAAAGGGGCATGGCAAGAGGGTAGCTGGGAGCATCGAATGGAGCGATGAATGGAGGAGTCAAGTCCAAGAATGGGTTCATCAGGTTTGAGTATGACCAGTCAATATCAGGGTCCGATCTCGAAGCATCAATTTGAGGCAATATCGCTTCATTATCCAGAACAGGATTGTGAACTTCCGTAGGAGGCAGTACCTCTGGTAACGCATGTCCCAAGTCCAAATCTTCAGATTGCACGTTGGCAGGAGGCGAAGTTTTCGGAGGAGACGGTCCCTCATTTGGTTGGGGTTTGGTAGGCGTGTCCAAACCTTTCCGGCCAGTCGAGGCACCAGTGACAGCTTCTGGAGGCTCATTCTGAGGCGGCTTTTGAATCTCCGAGCTGGATGGCTTTGTATCGGCCCCAGGTTGGTTCATACGGCGCCGCTTACGGCTGTAGGCGCCGACAAACTTGAACTCGCGAGTGCCTTGAGCGATGGTCATGATTCTCTCTATCGCACTTCGCTTTCGACACTATCAATACCAAAGCATAGATTTGAGTGAGTTTCAAACACTAGACAAGGTTCTCATTCACAAAAAGGACAAGACAACGATGGGGGAAAGGGATGGATACCGATGCAGGGCGGGGGTTAACACAAGACTGGACCAAGAGCAGCCACGAGTCATACAAGGAACTTGCGGAGAAAGCGGGGCATATATGCCTGGGGTAATTGCCCTGTATGCTGCTCTCGAGATAAGTGGGTGAGGCGTGTACGTAAAAACAGGCACTGTAGCTAAAGAACAGCTCTTAGATAACCCTGGGGAAGTTATTGACGTCACATCTGGGTAGATAAAGAGTACAGAGTTTCGCGAGTTCACCTAGTCATTTCTAACGATGTGGTACGGAAGTAAACTACGGAGAGGGCTACGAAAAGCCAAACCTCCTATCCCACGAGAAGACCCAAGATGACTATGATACATCTCGCGGACACTTCCTGATAATCCATCATCAGTCATTTTAGAGGCCCATGCTCTTCTCAGATTTTCATACTCTGAAAAAATCACACAATTTATTCCACGAATGATCGTTGATAGAGCTGCATGTTTCTTACCTTGAGGGCATTCCATCCATGTCACTTTATTCAACTGCTCTCAAATTACATGCTTGAATCATTTATTTTCTTTATTTTCGTGATATGCTTAGTTATAGAGGCCGCCATTGGCGGACAGCACTGAACCAGTAGTCCACTTGGCATCATCGCTGCAAAGGAAGGCAACAAGCGGTGCAATATCACTGACCTCTCCAACACGGGGCGCAGCAGGGGTCGATTCAATCAAAGGCTGCATATCCTTGAGGAACTGTTCATCACTTTGGAACCATTGATCTGTGGGAAAGAGGTAAGAAAAACCTAGTGTTAGCTTGACAAAGCTCGAAAATATTAACTTTGGAGCGGAAGCCACTTACCAGTTGCAATAGGGCCTGGGTTAACACAGTTCACTGTGATGCCATGAGACTGACCTAACTCCTTGGCCCAGACACGGACCAGAGCCTCGTCTGCAGCCTTAGTAGCGGCGTAGACGGTTTGGCCGGCAACACCGAGACGGGCTCCAGCAGAAGAGATGAAGACGATGCGGCCTCCCTGAGGCAGGTAAGGCTCCGCCGCCTTGGTTAAGAAGATTGGGCCTTTGACATTAGCATCAAAGTGAGTGGTGTATAATTCCTCAGTTGTGTTAACCAGGTTGGCCTCAAGACCGAGAGCCGCACTATGAAACCCCAAGAGTTTAGCCAAGGTAATAAAAAGCCGCCATTGGGACTAAAACTCACTTGTGAATGAGGATCTCAATCTTTCCAGTGCTGCTAATCTTGAGAGCAGCATCGATAATCTTGGGAATCTGGTCCATTTTTCCGACGTCGGCCTGGACCACGATGGACTTCACTCCCAGGGCCTCGACGTCCTTGCCAACCTTTTCGGCGCGCTCGCGGCTGCCATCACTGATGTAGTTGACGACAATGTTTGCGCCGCGCTTGGCAAGAAGAAGGGCGATACCTGCACCAAGCCCACTGCGTTCAACCTAGTTAGCTTGAGGACATTATGAATGGGATACTCTACTTGCATACCGGGAGGCACCAGTGACAATGGCAGTCTTGCCGGTCAGTTCAAGGCCAGTGAAGTCAGGCATCTTTGCGTTCCAGTGGCTAGGGTATTGAATAGGGTGTTGTAAGTGGTGTAGCGTAAGTATAAGCGTTTGGGGGTGTGGAATTGGTGACTGGGATTGATGTAGAACTATCATTAAGTATCTAGGTCCAGATGAACTCATCGACGATGCATGGACAAGGGCCAGTATGTTAATTCCTAAGTAGGAAGTAAGTTCCATATAACCCAAACAGGATTAGATAGTCATCCATCAACCCCTATTCCGGTGAAAGTTAGACTACCGAGGCGAGAAGTAACAAGTTCGGGACCCTCTTTGCCTAGTCCAGTAGCAAGCTTTCGGATGTTCTTCTCTCATTGGAACAAGTCTTGCTAAAAGGCCCACGCCTCGCGCTATTGACGTCGTCTTGAACTGATTAGCGAAGCGCTGATTTAGCACGTGAATGCCCCTCAAAGCTACCAATCCGCGGTAAAGGAGTGGAAAAAGGAGCATACAGACAGAAAATACGTGAAGATGGCAGAAAAGTCTCGAGATGGCCATGTCTGGACACCCGTTGGTGGGTTTACCACAGGTATTGAGACTGACGCCGTCATCTCTCCTCAAACGTCCATTTCAACATCCCCCAACACTGTCTACGACGTTGTCGTCATCGGTGCAGGATACGCCGGACTTGCCGCCGTGCGCGACCTATGCAATCAAAGTAAGTTCCTACACCTTCGACCGCGTTGAATTGAAGCAAACGTTGACACAACGCGCCTATAGAGCAGTCTGTACTACTCCTTGAAGCACGAGATCGGATCGGCGGCCGGACATACACAGCCAAGAAAGATGGTGAGAGGCACAGCTAGATCAGTTATTTCAAGAATCGTTGAGTTTTTCTAATTTCTCTAGACTTCCTCTACGAGATGGGGGGAACATGGGTAACTCATCACATGGGTTATCTGTTTCGAGAGATGGTTCGATATGGAATGGACCGTGATTTAATTACTACAGGCAGCCCTAACATGGAAAAAGGTTTTTACACCATCAATGTCCCTGGTGAGTTTCATTCGGGGTTATGTCTGAGTCTCCATTGAATCAAAGGACTAATCACTTTCTCCTACCTCCCAGGCGTCGAACCTCGGAAACTCTCCCATGAGGAAGCGGGAGCGATGCAGGCCAAGGCCTGGGACATGTTTGTAAACGTGGATGGTCAATACGGTCGAACCATATGCCCTCTTCCCCATGCCCAGCTTGACAATCCCATCGTCCCTCGCAGCACCGTGGAGCAATGGGACAAGGTGTCATGCAAGGACCGCTTCGAGGAGATCAAGCAAAAGCTCACATCTGAAGAACAAGGCCTCCTGGTATCTCTCCTTCTGCACATTTCCGGTGGCAACTTGGAAGATTCCAGTCTTTGGGACATGGTCCGCTCCCACGCTCTTCTCATGCATAACTCGGACAACTTTACCGACGTGTGGCTCCGGTATAAGCTGCGAGATGGCCAAACCGAACTGGCAAAACGCATGTTCCAGGAAGCCAAGAACGACGGCTTAAATTTTGCCTTTTCTACGCCGGTCGCTTCCATTAACCAGAGCGCTTCCGGAGACGGCCCAGCCACCGTACGTACGGCTAATAATCAGACATTCCGTGGTCGCAAGGTCATCAGCACCATCCCTCTCAATGTCCTCAAAGATATTCAATTTTCCCCACCCCTTTCTCAGCGACGCCAGGAAGCCATAAATATTGGACATGTCAATCATATGACCAAGGTTCATGCAGATGTCAGCAACAAGGAACTGGAAAGATGGAATGGAATGCGTTTCCCTAGCCATCTCATGTATGGGTATGCAGACGGTGTCCTGCCGAATGGAGATGTTCACATCGTGGCGTTTGGCAAGGATGATCGCGAGACCTTTATTCCTGAGAACGATGCAAACAAGACAATCGATGCCCTTAATGACCTGCACCCTATGCATGTTAAACGTCTTGTAAGTTTAGCAGAGAGCTTGTCGCCCCCCGAAGCTATGTATACTGACGAGAAAATGTAGTTGTTACACAACTGGAGTACAGACCCCTACTCAAAGGGCGGTCCGGCGTGGTGGCGACCTGGTTATATGTCAAAGTACCAAGACGAACTGCAGAGCCGTCATGGAAACATTCTTTTCGCCTCAGCAGACTGGGCTCATGGATGGAGGGCTGCAATTGACGGGGCCCTCGAGCAGGGCACGATGAACGCAAGAACCGCATTCCAAGAGAACAATCATGTTCGGCCAAGTAGGCTGTGACCTACGTGTATCCTACGGCCTTTGTATGACATATGTATTTTTGACTAAATCAATATCTGTTGATCAATCACATTGATAGCTGATCATGAATTAGCGCCCATATTACGGGATCTAATCTCATCCCATCAAGTAACACAACCTATTTGAATCTCAGAAGCTTGCTTCATTGTAATTCTGCCTGGTATTGTCTACCACCGGCTGAGCAAAGGTGATTCCTAAGGTCCTGCAGGTCTCAAATATTCTCACGCCCGCAGCTAACTTACCAAGTGGGTGACATTGGAAATGGCACACCTGAGCACTCCTTTAATATATGTTTGATCTATAATCTTTTATAGGCAGCTATAGAAATACCGAAATAAGATTAAAAGAACAGAATATTCAGGCCTAAGTATGAATAATCTCTAACCTCTATTTAGAATAATCTACTTATTCAGATATTTGGATGTTTATTCGGTGTTTATTTAGGTGATTATCTGGGTGTGCCATTTCCTGTGTCACCCATTTGCTTACCTAGAGAACAGTGTATACACGTGTTTTATCCATGTGCGTGCCGCATTCCTATGACGATATTGCCATGACACGTCTCATTCGGGAGAGTTTGACCGCACCAAGGTTCCACAACAAGCAGTTTCTCTCCTGCTCGTAAACTTTCAACCCCGCTCCCTGAATCATCACAACACTTATCCTCTCCTAGACACACATTACGCTGAGTGCCACACACGATGCCCAACACCGGCGACCCCAAGTCGAAGCCCGCCGGCGGGATCAAGATAATCAATGCCTCTCTATTCCGCATGGGCACCAAGTCCATGGCTGAAGCGTACACAATCCTCGGATACCGCACCCACCACGCCATTGACGATCCCTTCACCGTGCCATGGCACCTCATCGAGGAGGCAGCCGAGGGGAAATGGCCAGACGTCCCGGGTGCTCGACCCAGAAGACCCTACACGAGATCTGACTGGGATGCCATATGGGGATCCTACGACGTAGTCACCGACGTCGCCTCGCCCTTCACGATGGATTTAGCACAGGCCTATCCGGACGCCATATTCGTCGTCGTCCAGCGAGACTTCGACTCGTGGTGGTCCAGCTTCGAATCAGAGGTGCTCGGGTGGTGTTTCTTCCGAGGAGCCCAACCTCTCATAAAGATCTTCGCCATCTTCGGTTTACGCTCCGGCAATGCCCTGAGGAAATGCTTTCTAGGTTTTTTCCACGCCAAGTCTATTGAGGAGATCAAGGCGAATGCTCGGGAGGCCTATGATCGGTACTTTGATGATGTTCGGCGTCTCATTCCGGAAGAGAGGAGGCTAGAGCATAAGCTTGAGGCGAGATGGGCACCTCTGTGTGCGTTTCTTGGGAAGGAGATTCCAGATGTGCCGTTCCCGAGATTGAATGACAAGGCAGCACATACCGCACACTCACGCGCCAACTTTAGAAATAGTCTTTCTCTCGTTGTGCGTAATATGTTGTACTGGGTGGTGGGTGTGGTATTTGTCGGGTATCTGGCTTGGTACCTTCAAGGTCACGTCTTTTCGCGAGATTAAGGCTTAGAAGGGAGGAATAGCTAGAACTGGTCCTTGTCATTATTTTTCATTCTCACAATTATACCTAATTAGTCCTGCCTCGCCGGGTCAAGAGTCACCTTGGCCCCCGTAATCTCATCAATCTCAGCCATGACCTCCGGCGTCAGCTTATCCAGAATCTTCAGCGCGCCGACCGTCTCCTCGATCTGCTCCGGCTTGCTCGCGCCCGTGATGACGCTGCTCACGTTCTCGTTCTTGAGGCACCACGCCACGGCCAGCTGGCTCTGCGAGATACCCAGCTTGTCCGCCACGGGCTTGAGCCTCCTGACCGTCTCGATCTCCTTCTTCCACTCGTCGTCGCCCGACGATCCGATCTTCTCGCGCATGAACTTGGCGAACTTGTCCTGGCTGGAGCCGAAGCGGGAGTCGGGCGGCAGCTTGCCGTCGACGGCGTCGTTGTACTTGCCCGAGAGGATGCCCATCTTGATGGGGCTGAAGGTCGTCAGGCCGAGGCCGTGGCGTGCGTAGAGGCGCTGGAACTCGCCCTCGACCTTGTTGCGCACGAGCATGTTGTAGAAGGGCTGCTCGACGATGGGTGGGATCATCCGTAGGTCTCGAGCCACGCCGACCTATAGTTCAGGTTAATACAAATGGAAAAGTGGTGCTGTGATAATGGTCATTCTTACTGCTTCGGCAATCTCCTCGGCACTCCATTCAGATGTGCCCCAGTAAAGAGCCATGCCCTTGTCAATCACATAGTTGAATGCCCTCACAGTCTCCTCAATCGGCGTCAGCCTGTCAGGGCGATGCGCGTAGACGATGTCGACATATTTCAGACCCAGGCGCTCAAGCGAGGCTTCCAAGCCCTCAATGATGTGCTTTCGTGACAGGCCGTGGTTGTTAACGAGAATCTCGCCATTTTGCGCACCCCAATTGATCTCTTCGTTCGGACACCCATCAGCTATCAATTGAAGCCAGAGCAGGAATAAAGGCTGTGAGACTTACTCGTGCTAATGACCAAGTCGCTCCGCTTCCAGCCGAATTTCTTAATGGCGTTTCCCAGCGCAATCTCCGCCTTGCCAGCGGTGTAGTTCTCTGCCGTGTCGAAGAAGTTGATGCCCAGATCGTACGCCTTCTTGACGCAGGCCAGCGTCTTCTCTTCGTCTGCGTATCCGCCGTAGGTCAGCCAGCTGCCCAGGCTGATGGCTGAGACATGAAGGCCGGACCGCCCGAGGCGGCGGTAGACCATGCCGGTGTTTCGAGGTTCTGCCCACGCCATTGTGAGTTGTGTTGTAGCTGTCGTCGGAGGGGAGTGAGCTGAATGAAGGCAGGGTAAAAGTTCACTGATGAGACGAGGTCTTGTTAAAGAGAACTTTAGCTCAGCGAGGTCGGCCGCAAAACGACCGTCGGGGACCGCCGGCGAATTTCTCGGAGGTACGTTTGATGGGGCAGCGGTTGAGCGGATTTTAGAATCCGCTGATTCTCGCCGCGACACACATCCACGTTTTAGGTGCGGGGTGTTGGATGACAGGCGGGTTTACGAAGCACTACGACACTAGCGGATGCCAGTGATTGGGTCAGTCCTACCCAGGGATGGAGCTCTGCTGATGCTGATGGTGGTATTGGTCGTGTTGATGGGGCTCGAGCAGCATTTGAGTCATCGGCGAGGGAGAGCGGAGAAGATTGCCAAGATCGAGAGGGGGCCAGGAGAGATCGGCCAGGTCTTGGTCGACTTCTTCCTGGCCGATCATGTCCAAGAAACTCGTCGAGATTGACGTATCCCATTGGACTTGCTCTGGGAGAAATGGTACACTCATCGCTGTAGGTGATGGTCGGAGCAGTAGCCTCAAGTCTGGGCTGGCCATCGCCAATTTCGAATTCAGTAATGCCAGGAGGGTCTTGTTCCCGCCTCGTGATGAAGAAAGGATGCTATACAGACCGTGAAGGACATCCCTCGGTCGGCTCGTCGGTACCAACGAACGTCTGTCCATCACCGCGTCCACGACAGCGGTGGCAATCTCATACGTCTTGAACTCCTAGAAATCCATCATTAGCTTCCCGTTCAGAGTGAGGATAGCATGCAGAAGAACTCACAAGTGTCGGGCCTTGCGACTCCAACGCCGTCGTCGGCAGTCGGCTCACGAGAGCAAGAAACTCACAAGCGACACCAACCGGATCAATGCCATCCACGACGACGCCAAATTTCTTCGCCGCCCTCCACAACACGGCTCGCATCCATTGCCTCGTGACAAAGATGTCAGCCTTTTGCACGTCGCTGCTGCCTCCGTCCCCGTCGCCGCTTCTGTCGCTGTCGACAAGCTTCCGCTGGAGAAGCTCGAGGCAGCCTCTGGCCAGAGCCTCCATGCTGGAGACGTCGGTGTCCGAGTTGCGCAAGAGCTCAAAGATGCCGGACTGATCAAAGACGTAGAAGAGGTGGACGAGCTTCAGAAATGCAGGGAGCACCTCATCACGGGAATGATCGGTGGCCCAGGGAAACAATGTATTCGGGCGAAGAACGACAGGAAGCTTGTGAAGCATCGCAACGCCTCTGGAAATCAGTTGCATTAGTATAGATATCACTGCTTGTCAGAAGGCAATTAATGCAGTCTACTTACCGCTCGGTGACGAACAATAACCAGATCAGCCGTCGAAGAAGCTGCTGGTCAGAGCCATCTAAGGAGGAGTATGTCGCCTCACGGTCAACTCGTAGAAGCTGGGCCTTGGTAATGGCCTCGCGCAGGTACAGCAAGGATTTGATCCCTCCCGCAGTCTGATTCTCGTGGTAGATGTGCAAGAAAAACGACACCCGTAAGCTGTCCACCAGATCTCCCGTGTCCGTCTCCCTCAGCGCGTCGTGCTCTATCTGCTCTACATTCCCCTTCCACATACTCGGACTGAGCTTCAATTGCGCGACGGTGGCCAAAGCGACAGCTTCTGCGAGATGTCGCGCCTTGGTATTCAATGGATCTAGAAGGAGGGTATTGGAGAGATCTGTCGCGTCTACAATCGGCCAAATAGGAAACAGTCTTGTCGCATAAATCCCCAGCAGCTCGAGGAGAGTGCTCAAGTCTCCTATGCCGTCGCCGGCCTCCTCATTATGCTGCCGCTCTAGAGGAGACTCAGCGCCTCCATCACGCCTTTTGCTGGCGATGCGATGGATCGTCTTCGCTCGGAGCGTCCTTGGTCCCCGGATCGAGGGCGTACGATTGAAAGTGCATTCGATGCCTGCGGCAATGCAGCCTGTGCAAGGCGACACCTCGGAGCACTTGATTTTGCGGATCTTGCACGGGTCACAGGCGCGTTTCACCAACTTCTGCCTTCGTTTGGCGGCGGAGGGGGGGTTGTTGGTCATTTCCAGTGCTCATCATTTCTCCATACGTCGAAAAACGAGAATTAATTGATTGGAAAGCGCGTTCGAAGATCTACCCCTGTCTTCCAGCCCGACGTGGTGATGGTGTCTTGATGAACAGCTGGGTGGGGAGACGGCAGATGCCAGAATCCAAATTACTGCGGAAAACAATTCAGATCGATCGGAATTGGAATTGCAGCCTATGCCTCGGCATCAGTCTCGCGTGTCGTGTCACGGATCAATATCCACTCCCGAAGAGACTTATGCAGGCCGTGAGGGACCATCGTGCATTGCCGCGATGGTGCAATTCTGGGCCCAAATGTCGCCATCGCAAGCCTAAATCTAGGGAATGTTTCTAGCGTGCCGAAACACCTGTAGAAGCGACTAATTTCAAATACAAGCATGTCCAGAGGACCGTTTTACTAAATGAATCAGCTACCCTATATCCCCTTGTCGCAGGTGCCCAGTCTAGCTCCTATCACCCCGACAGTCTTTTTCATGCCAATTAATTTGTATTATTCTTTTTACTACCCTCGTATTAGCTAATTGAACGGAGTGTTCTCATTCAGAAGGGACAAAGTTACCCCTACTCCATCTTACAGGTACATACCAGTTGAAGGTTATTCCGATATCATGCGCCATCTCGTCTCCCTTCCGGGGACTCAAAGTCTCAGACCATTTGTGGAAAGCAGGATCGTACTCTCACCCGGCAATCCTTAATCAGGCCAATGAACGGACATGTAAAGCGGATTAATTCCCCCGCACTTCTTGGCTGGGATGAATGTCGACGTTTCCCCGCCAAGAGATCAACAGACCTCGGAAGCGGGGGAGACAACTCCTACCACGTGATGGAACCTTGAACATCTCCTCCTCTCTGTCAACTCTCTGGCAATTATTGTTACTTTCTTCACCATACTTCACTTCGAGAGGGAGAGTTCCTTGAGACCTTGATTCACTTGAAAGCTGAAATTGAACATGGACTCAGCAACGGATTCTGTCATTGTGGCACCGAGCGCCGAGCAAAATGGTGTGGGAGCCGAATCCCAGAAACTGCTTGCTCCTCCCGTCTTCACCGACAAGTACGAAGAGCGTGAATATCTCAAAGGCCGCCTGGCGCTAGCATTCCGGATCTTCGGTAAATTCGGTTTCGATGAAGGCGTCGCGGGCCACATCACATTGCGTGACCCCGTCCGCCCAGACCACTTCTGGGTGAATCCCATGGGGAGAGCGTTTAGCCTGATGAGGCGATCCGATCTGATCCTCGTCAACGGAAACGGCGAGGTGATCGAAGGAGGGCCTAACAGGCTTCTGAACAAAGCGGCTTATATGATCCATCACGCGGTTCATACTGCTAGGCCCGATGTCCACTGTGCAGCACACTCGCATAGTATCTACGGACGAGCTTTCTGTACCTTGGGTCGACCTATCGATATGCTGACGCAAGACTCGTGCGCATTCTACAATGATATTAAAGTCTACCGACAATTCAAAGGCGTCGTTCTCGCGAAGGAAGAAGGGAACAATATCGCCCAGACCCTCGAATCGAGCAAAGCCTGCCTGCTTCAGAACCACGGTCTTCTTACCGTCGGTAGGACAATAGAGGCTGCGATTTTTTGGTTCGTGTCTCTGGAGAAGTGCTGCCACGTTCAGCTCATGGCTGAGGCCGCGGCGACCAAGCCAATTCAAATTGATCAGGCGGATGCGGAGGTGACATTCAAGACCGTGGGGAGTCCTCTGGCTGGGTGGTTCAGTGCCAAGCCAATGTTTGATGTCATGGCGGAAGAATGCGAGAACAAATATCTCTTATAAAGAGTATCTAAAGTTTCTATTACTACTAAGTATCCAAGATTGTTAAGAAAAAACACAAGACGTAATGCGCATGATGCCTCGCGCTCTTTTTGGCTCTTCCTTTGGGTTAATTAGAGCTCACTCCACATTTCAATGATAGGAGGTAGGCATGAGAAGAATGGGCCGGAATCGGTGGCAGTTCTGCTTCCTGTTTACTAATAGGCAAACCGGAAGTCCAAACGCTTGTTACCGTCAGCCTGGCGGGCTTCCTTATCCGTTTGGTATTCCAGCTGCTCCTCGGGCGACATGCTGCTCCAGATCTTTTCCTTCTTGTTGTTGAGGTGGACAAGATACTGGCGGTGGACAATGAAGACGATGAGACTAAGAGCAAGAATAGACACGCACACTTTATTTCCCGTCTTGTAATATGGTGAGTCCCATTTGCGATAGATTTGGTTGCCAATGACACTCCCACTAAGGATAGAGTTAGTATTATGCTGCGGGCTTGACCCGGTATACGGGGTTGAGCACTTACATTTGAACAATGACGTTGTACGTGGCTGCAGTGATTGCCCTCTTCTTAACATCAAAGGTATTCTCCGAAATCCATGAGCTCACAAGCGGGTGGAAGTAAGGGTACCCGGAGATGAGGGTGATGAGCGAGAACCTCTCCCACTCTCGCCCACCGTCCGGGAGTGTGATGAGCGACGTAAGCATAGGCAGTGACCAGAACGCACCAAACAGGCAGTGGAATGCCCGCTCATTGAAATATTCTGAGCTGTAGGCCAAGGCGAGCATGGTGATGATCTGCAGCGCAGCAGATGGGGCTGTGAGCAGGTTCGACTGGAGTGTGTTAAATCCGCCCACACGCTTCAACGTCAATGTGAGGTAGGCTTGAACTGGAGTAGCTGGAATATAGGCAACCAATCCGATGAGATACAGTCCCCACATGGACTTGTCTCCCCATGCCGCCTTGATGTCCTTGAAGGTGGCTGGCTCGTAGAGGTTGGTGAGGCCCTTTGCGGGGTCGTCGCGCAAGATGCGGTTGATCATGATGGTTTCCTCACGGGGGGTGTACCAAGACTTGCGCCAAAGGGGTGATTTGGTCCCTGTGGGCGAGGTAGGGAGGTAGAGGAAGGAGACAATACCGAGGAGAAGGGTGAGGAGACCTTCAAGGAGGAAAAGCCAGAACCAGCCGGGGTGGCCACCGACGCCGCGCATTTCGAGTAAACCAGCAGCGAGAAGAGCCGAGATAACTCCTATAGATGAAATATTAGACATTTTGCAAATTTAGTACGCAAAGGGTGACTTACTTGCGACGTTGAGGGTTGACCAAAATGCAGCCAGGCGGATAGAGAGCTCTCGGGAAGTGTAAAAGTATGTAGCCATGAGGATGGCACCAGGAATGAATCCACCCTCGAAAAGGCCAATGAATGCTCTAGTAATGTAGAATGAAGTCCTGTCCTTCATGAATGCCTGGAATGTTGCTGCGAAAAGTGTTAGTGAGCCAGTCGAGAAGAAGGGAGACGAACTACTCACAAACAAGACCCCATGCGCACATTAGCTATATACCCGAATTCGTGTCAGCCAACCTCCTCTCAACTGCGAATGAAAGAAAGTTCATACTCCGGGAAGAATGTTCTTGAAGCCATAGCGCTTGGTAAGAAATTGCACTGGGAACTCGGCGCCAAGGAAGCACAGTAGTTGGATTGTTGTTCCCTATAAAATGTGGCGCATTAGTGTCATATCTCTGTGATCAACTCCTCCCCTTCATTCAATCCGGTCTCACTTACGTTGTTGTAGTCATCTGTCGTGAGGCCGAGGTCATCCAGTAAATTATCAGCAAGGGCATTACTGAGATTGCCGCGATCAAGCTGCAACCCAAAGAACTACGGCGAAAGGTCAGTATTGATCTTTCGTTGCCTCGCGTGCAATTTTTCTTACCATGACACACAGCCAAGTGAGCAGTCGCCAGTCAGTCTTTCTGACTACTTTACGCTCCTCTTCTGGTGACCATGATGCGCTCGGGTCGAAGCGATGGCGTCCCTCATAGGTATCATGGGGAGGCACCGTGGAATGGATGTGCTCACGGCCGACCTCGGGCTGAGGCTTGCCGTCATTGATGTCGTGCGCCGCCACACTCGAGGTGCGGGCCTCGATGTCGTTGTTACCCATGATGCGGCAGGATCAGATCGCCAATTGGGATATAGTCGGTCAGGCAATATCTGAGTCGAAGTGGTGAGACAAAGAAAAGAAAACGAGCCGCGTGCGTATTCTTTATATCTGTCTGGGCTGAGGAAGCCAAGGAGTGTGCCAGCTTACACGCCAACCCCAGTCGGTCGCACGATGACAATCGAACCAAGAGATGACTCTCACCTGGAATTGTGGCAATCTTTAGTGGACGGCGACTTTCTCGGAGCCTGCTCGATCACCTCATCGCAGCCATGACTTGCCCCTGGGCAGCCTATTTAACAAAATAAGGTGATGGACCGAGAACCAGCAACGCCGGAATCCCAATGAGATGGTGGCAACCAACCGTTAATGACCGCTGAAGGCACGAATTTAGCAGCCGGGGTAGCCTAGATTGGATTCTAGCATGACCACGCATTTGCCGGACAAATAGTGTCGTTTCTAGGCCCAGGCTGGTGGTACCAGCAATGCGGGGAGTGAGCCCAAGCGGCTGTCTGAGTGGTTTCCTCTCCGAAAATTTCTCCGGCAGCTTGTGAATGCCATAATGGGTCCGGATCTCGTCATCCGCCGCGTGCGTGATTCGCCAGATCGAGGGGCATGTCAACGGGTATAACTACCGCTTTGCACAATTTGACCACCACCTATCGAATCTGGGAATACATAACGTCCCTTGAGTGTGTTTAACTCATTATTCCTGGCTCTGGCGTGATAAATCGTCTAGCTTAAAGAGGGTTGTCTGTTGAAGTCTAGCTCCTCCTACTGCTACCCAAGACTTGGTCTCAAACAGCCAATTCACTCACCCGTGTCTACAAACCACAGCCAAGAACAATGCCAGCTATTATTCAGGCCGTAGATGGCCCTGTCGACGCCACCATCTTCGGCGGTCACCCGGAAAGCCGGCCCCGCCTGACGGCGCCACTCACTTACACGGGCTCCCTGGACCGCTTCTCCCACTTCGACGTGACCCCTGCCATTGGCCGTGAGTACACAGGGCTGCACATCAAGGATCTCCTCAAGGCCTCGGACGAGCAGATTCAAGATTTGGCCTTGACTATTTCGCAGCGTGGGGTGGTCTTTCTACGTGGGCAAGCTGACGTAACACCCATTGAGATGAAGGACTTCATGCTGCGGCTGACAGAGCAGGCTGGGTGCCCTGAGTCATCAGGCCTGCACGTCCACCCTCTCACTGAGGAGGGGAGCGAGCTGGGGGACCAGATTAGTGTAATTTCGAGTGCAAAGCAGAAGAAGGGAGGTGGCTTGACTCACCAACTAAGTGATGTTAGTCGATTCGCGAGCGCTGGCTGGCATAGCGACATGTAAGTGGAAATGCATGAAAAGAAGACGAAGGGTGTCTAGTTGACTGACAAAGCCAATAGCACCTTTGAAAAGGTTCCCTCCGATTATGCGATGCTCAAAATTCACACTCTCCCAGAAACCGGAGGCGACACGGTATGTTGGCACTTACTTCATAAACCTCAAAATTCGTCCAAAATGTCGGTTACTGACAGTGGCAGCTCTGGGCTTCTGGCTACGAAATCTACGACCGCCTCTCTGAGCCAATGAAAGAATTCCTGTCCGGGCTCACTGCAACGCACGATGCGTCCTTCTTCCACGACGAGGCTGCTCGTCTGGGCAACCCCCTGCGCAAGACCCCGCGAGGCTCGCATCTCAACCAGGGCGACAACCTCGTGACCGTCCACCCGTTGATTCGGACCAACCCCGTTACCGGGTGGCGGAGCGTTTACGTCAATCGCGGCTTCACCAAGCGCATCAACGGAGTGACCCGTGACGAGAGCGATGTGCTGCTGCCGTACTTGTTCAACTTGGTAACGCAGAACCATGATGCGCAAGTGAGGTTTCGATGGAATCAGGGAGACATTGCAATTTGGGATAACCGGTCGACTTTTCACTGCGCAACCTATGATTATGAGGCTGCCAGGGCTGGAGACCGAGTCTGCAGCTTGGGCGAAGCTCCGTATCTCGACCGGAATAGTATAGGTCGCAAGGAGGCACTGGGCATGTAGATATTAAGAGTTACGAATGATGAAACAGCGAGGCCTAAAAGGGCTGATATGGAAAAAAAAGAAACCATAAAAACTAAAGACAGTCATCCTAACTTATGGCCATACCTAATGAGCTACGTTGAGTAGGAAAGGTCAAAGAGAAATTGGCCTAGGTCATAAAACCGGATATGTGAAACTCAAACTTTTGTCACATGAGTTTATGAGGCGTCTACGGCTGCAGCTGAGAACGCAAGGGGCAAATTAATAGGACAAACTGCCAATGCCTTCCTTAGAGGTCGCTTCTGCGTGTAACTTGAGATATACATATACGATGGTTGTTCAACCCCCAAGCCACCAAGCCACGTCCAGCGCAAAGCGCACATACGAAGCCAAACCCCTCGCCGCCTCCGTCTCTGCCTCCCACTCGCATCCGACTCATATCTAGGGTAATTGTGACGGATAAGCCTCCTGCTCAGTGATAGGATTCTTTCTTGGCCCTGGCGCGGGACCTCTAATTTTGAGCCCGTGTGAAGCGGCAGCCATCGATTTCCCCCTGATTTTTATTAAAAACTTAGCAAATATTTGAAGGAGCCTAGTCTTCCAGATTTTACTTACGAGTGATAATAGTTTCGGGATTTTGAGAATGTACGTATCTTGACTCAACTAGCTTGGGCTTAGTAGGTGCTACTCGCATGTCATCAATGCCACACTTTTGGAGTCCTTACAGTGATGCTAAATCGACCTGTTCCAAATTTCTCTCTCACAGTATTGGCCAGCTTCACGGGGTCAATGTCGCGGCCGTCGATGATCATTTCCCATTTATAGCGGCAGGCATTGATTTCCTTCTAATTTTTAATTAAACTTAGCAAATGCTCCAAGAAGCCTGGGTAATCTTCTAGATTGTACTTACGGACGATAATGGTTTGGGGATGACGAGAATGTACCGGCCTTGTCTCAACTAACTTGGAGTTCAGTAGGTGCCCTCAATGCCACAGTTTCGGAGGCGCGTACTGTACTTACAGTGACGGTATATTCACCTTGTCGAAATTTCGCTTTCACAGTACGGGCCAGCTTGGCAGGGTCAATGTCGCTGCGGTCGATGACCTGTTCCACGCGAGAGACTGACCCTCTTCGCCATTTAAACCGCAAAGAGGATATGAAACTTCGGATCGGCATTTTACGTAAATATGTGTGGATTAAGTACGGATATGTTGAAGACAGAGAGCAGATTGCCTGCGGTTTAGAGCGGATCAGACCAGCCATTTTAACCCATAGATAAATCGCAGCAATAACACTAAACTGCCCACTCATCCATCGTCAGGTGGTAGATGATTGATCTTCCTTGTTCGTACAAATGCTTTACTTTGTGCTTCAATCCAGTTGGGGCAGCTGATGGTTGGTCCTTCTTGTTCCTAGTAGTATCTTTACTTTGTCCTTCAACAATAGGGGCGATTGATGATTGATCTTCTTTGTTACTCGATATGTCCTTAACTTTGTGCTTCGATCTAATCGGAGCGGTGCAGTTGATCAAGGACAAATTGTCTTCAAACATACTTAGGCCGCATCCATGAATAGGTTTTGACATAGGAAGCAAGCTTACGAACTCCTGGAACGAGGACCGTGACAAGTACAAGTTTCAAACAATGTGACTGATATTGTAATGAGAACAGTATTGACATCGACCACCCAGACCATGCAGTCTTGAACAACATTCTGCCGCGATATAAGTTCACGTTCCGGAGCTCCTTGATTATAACAATCGCCTATAGGTGTGTGCTGAAATATCTCTCTCACTACACAATGCTTCAATGCTCCGTCATGTAAGCCGACTATGTAGGTAACGAGTGCGGCACAACTATCTTAATAGTGTTTATGACGCAGTTTGGCTTCCTTGAGTATAAACTTCAATGCTCTAGTGGCTCACTGGAAAAACCAACTCGCCATTCTCGTCGCGTTTGAGCTGGAGATTCAGTCAGCATTGATGTTACTTGACCAAGTGTGGGACGATTGTGACGTACACCAAGGAGGGCAGCGCCAGCAAGTCTCGAGATAGCCTGCGGAAAGTTTTGTCAACATTTCTAAAATTGTGCAAAGCAGACGTAAAAGCTTTGTGGGAGTACAAACCGCCGAGTACGTGAAGATAGGGTCGTTGCTGTCGTCTGTAAAATCGAGCTGTTGATCTGATTGCCTTGTTAGTAGACAACAAAGAGAAAGCCGTGTTTTGCGAAATGCCATACAAGAGGTGACGTGAAGGATATTCTTTAGCTCCGGGTCAGCTTTGAGGCTTTTTATAAACTGTTCGGCCTCGCGCAGCTTTCCCACTCGGGAGATTTGAAAGAGCACATCTTGAATTTGGGTTAGTCTCTTTCATCATTTTCTTTCTTTTCATAGAGTCAGGTGTTTGATCTTACGCTTTTCTCCAACCTTTGTCCTATCGCGATCCCTAAGGAGTTTCTTGCACTCATCAATCTCGTTTTGGAATCTGCCCTTCTCGGCAGGGTCGGGCTGGTAATCGTAAAAGCGAAAAGCGGTTAGCCAATCTAGATGTTGCTTGATCGCGGACATCATAAAGGTACACATAGTAGGTCAACACTTACACATCCGTCCGTGATTACGCAAATGAGCACTGGCCGGAAAGTGCCTTTTGCTTGCAGCTTGGGGTACACGAACCGGTCCAATATCTTCTTTCTGAGCTGGGCTCCGAGCGGAGTGGTTCCGAAGTTGTTTATGTTAGCAATTAGTTCCCTCACCTCGTCCGCGGTTTCAGCGGTGTCGTCTCGGGGCTTGCCGTTCAGGAACTCGATACGGACAGACGGCGTGTTGTCATAGATGCTCTCGACCTCCACAATACTCCCGGCAATATCTTGCAGCTCCTCAGTAGGCTCGTTGGAGTCGTTCATAGACCATGAATTGTCTAACATAACATATGTTAATAAAAGAGAAAGGGATAGCCATCAGTGGCCAGGAGGGATGGTCATTTACCTAGGAAGAGGATTGTGTCGAACAACGCTAGAACCAGAAGGTCGTCTAGGTATTCGTCACTATACCCGTCCTTGGCGCGGATCTTGTCGCCCCAGATCTTCGCGTTCATAGCGATCTTCTTGATTTGATCGTCGCTGTGAAAGCTTGCCAGTTGCGTGGCGTTGTATTTCGTGAGGAACTTGTATGCGTGCAACTAGTGGGCAACTCTGGTCAGTGATAGGCTAGTCACATGGAGCAGACTGCTTTCAGAAAGTAACTAACCTGTCGGAAGTACGTGAATCCCAACTTGTCAGCTTCTTCCTTCCACTTGGGCGGGGCGGCTTGTTTGCGCAACGGAGGCTGCTGCTGGGGAGCTCGTGGTGGCGGCTCCGAGGAAACCCCTGAGGTACAGAGTTCCCACAGTGTCTTTGCCACGACGCGAGTTGTTCGGCTCAGGTAGAAGCCGTCATGTTTCTCAGTCAAGGAGATCTGAGGGCTCCTGTTCTTCCTGACGCTGCTCAAGTCGACCGGAACCATCTGCGTACTAGGCTTGAGAACCTCGCCCTCGAGGGTGGTTCTATCGGTCGCATTGACGACCATGATCGCAGACGCCCAAAATGTATAGAGCTTATCGCTGTGGTAGGCAACGGCGGTGATGGGGATTGGATCCTCCTCCGCATTGGTGCTATCATCGCCGGCGATGAGACGCTGGGCGAGCCCAACCACGTAGTTTGTCTTTTTGTCGTCGTCGGAAGGCCTGAGACATTTGATACGGACCGAGTCTTTGGGGGCCAATTTCAGTTGATGTTCTTCAAGATCTTTCTGCGCGGCAACGTTGATGTCGATGGAGTCGTTTCCCCAGTCGACTAGGACGACGGATCCGTTTTCGTTTCCAGATCCGAGCGAAACGGGGACGCTCTTAGTGAGGTGGATTTTAGGGTGGTTGCTTTCGGACTTGCGAATGCCCACAAAAGCAAAGTATTCATATTGGAAGGTCACTGAGACAACAGAACCGTGGGTGAGAAGGTCAGTGACGGCGAATGCAGGCGTCATCAGTCCTTGGTCTTCCGGCAGTACGGTGATATTTTTTTCGTCCTTCACAACGGCGGGCTGCGCAGCTACACAGTAAGAACGGCTGGTGTGTGGCTGAAACTCGTTCTTGATCTTAATTGTGAATGTCATGATTGCTGCTAGGTAACGCTTATACGAAGAGTGTTGATGTTTGGAAACTTCTGGGCTTGTGAACTGATCAAAGGGGCATTGGAATAATGAAGAAGCAATGATATATCAGTGCAAATTAACCGAGCCAGCAAGATCACAAGGTACTCAGGTTGTCCGTGATGGAAAAGAGGGGATATTCGTGTCTGTACGAAACCCTACGCTGACGGTTTACAAATCAACGTGGGGGGCTAATACGCCCGAGCAGTCACACGGACATCATTCTATATCCTTTCATTGGCTTCGCGAGACCTGACGTCCACCACTCTCATCAAGGATGCTTCGTGGTGTGTATCATCGGGACAATTATTATCGCGTAATCCCAGCTTCTCTGAGCTCGTCAAGTTCCATTCTCGGCCGCAACTAGAACCACATGACTGCCAGCTTATTGCTAGACTACTCGGTTAACCTTTGTTGATGCGTTGTCACGTCAGCATATCCCAAGTATAGAAAGGAGTGCACTCACAAGGTCGCAGCTGGTGGCTCGGTTACGCTAGTTACAACCCTACTTGTCAGACGAGCGTAGCCTTGGATGAAAACTGGCATATCTTGTCCGTTTTTAGAGCGAAGCATATATCCGTCGCAGCTGATTGAGGAAAGCGCTTAACTACGGAAGAGGGGAAAGCCGAGAAGTTGTGGGATTGTGTATATATATCGCCATGAAGAGCATTTGAAACCATAGCATCTACCATCTTCGTCTTCACTTCAGATCACTTGAAGAAGAAAGCATATATTTTATACTTGCCAACCTTTAAAATCTTCAAACGAGAGCCCTCAATCTAACATCGACACCATGTCATACACCATCGAGGTCAAGAACAAGTCCGGGTACGGTGGCAGAGTGTACAGCTTCTTGTCCGCCAAAGCCGTCATCACCGGCGCAGGCAACAATGCGGACACAACTAAGTCCATCGCCTTGTTCCGCTCTCGAAAGCTCGACAACGGAGGGACTGCTACCTTCAACTTTGGCAACACCTACTACGGGTTCATGGGCCACTCGGGCTCTGCTACCCTCCAAGTGGGTAGTAATGTCAATGTACAGACCGAGAAGAAAGTCACGCTTGGAACAAAAGATGGCATCCTGGCCCTTAACGAGGACTGCGTCTTTAGCGTCATCCCCCCGGATGACGAAAACCCTGTACCTGGCAAGAACCAATTCTCCATCGCGGCAAGCGCCAGGCTCCAGCCGGACAACGACGTCGTTGGCGTATCCCGTGGCATAGATTTGGGGGACGGTATTAATCCGGCGCCCCTCAATTGCGTTCCCCTCCGGGCGGGTCCGACGTACACCATCACTGTCAACAATGCCGTCTACGTCAAGGCTGCCAGTCTCGACAGACAATCTATTCAGGCTTCTCTTGATGATGACAAGACTGCTTTAAAAGTGGAGTTCCCTTACAGCAAGAAGAAGGCAACTGTCGTCGAGGACACCGATGGCAACTTCACCGTGACCTACTCGCGTGGTGATGATTGAACGTTGGCAAGTCCTGCGATTGCTCTGACTCTGATGGAGGACATAAATCTGGGCTGGTAATACATCTATGGCATTCCCTTTGTATCCCAAATAGAACAGATAGTTGTCTGGGATTCATCAAATACCATTCTAGCCCTGTAACAAAGTTGATGTGCAGTTTTCTTTGCAAGCTGGTCACCTGAGGTTATCTTGATCAACGTAGTATGCCCTAATTTCATCAAGTCAATTTCCTATCTGTACTAATAGGGGTAATCTAGATACACATTTATTTCAAATAACACAGCAATGTAACGATAGGAACCGTATACCTTGCGCTTTTCCATGTTTTGGTGCAACAGGACGAGTAACTGAAGGCTCGGCATAGCCGAACAATATGAACGGCAGACGAATGCGGTTCAACTTGAGTAAGACTGAGATCCACCTCTCGGCCCAGTTCCGCCCCTCTGCATATATGCAGTGTCACCCTGCGGGATCACAAACGTTAAATCATTACATCCGTGCCGACGCTGATATCAGCTGACATCATCAAAAGCATCGCAGCTACTATTATGCCAATATGAATGCCACATTTAATGCTGTCAGCTTCCCCTCATTGGATAGCTCTTTCAGCCGCTTTTGCAGCTGGAAGGGCGACTTTTTGGAACAGCTTTTCAACACCAACACCAGGTTTTTAACATCGCAAATAGATCTTAACATATATTCAAAGCGTGAAGATAGCTTCGTTAACATTTTAAGTTATACATGGAAAATGTTAGCTATCCTAGTAATTTTCAAGGACGTAGATATACCTAGCTCTCTTAGTGTAAGAGCTTGTGGAATCTACCACTTCCATATTTGTAGCAATTTCCTTTTTTAGTAAGTTGCTTCCTTCTTGAACCCTGGTGATCGACGAGGGGTGTAAATAGTGTGGTTGAGGGCAAGAGCTGCATGTTTCTGCGGCTTAGCATGTAGACCATCTCAACCGACGAAGGATTCCGCGGTGCCGGGTGTCCGACTAGCCGCGGTCGACGTATAAGTCCACTGCAACCCTTTTGGGAGTCACTATTGAGGGTTTCAGCTGCTACGGAATACAGAAAAGGTGGGTGAGTTTCCCTTTTACAGGGCGTCAGACTAGGTTTCAGGCTATGTGCTGACGGCCAATCTTTTCCGGCGGGCCAAGAGCAAGGAGCTTCCACGAGAGTATAGGCTTCCGGATTGCGCGGATTGTGGCCAGAAGGGCCGATAATGCAAGTCAAATTCACATTCACCTTGGGCAATAGTACCTAGCGGACTGCTCGTGACTCATGCCAGATGCCTTACTCGTGGCTCTTAATATAGACATCACTTACCACGCCGGTCTTGATATAGCACAATACGGCATGGTGATTGAGGAGGAATATAGTGTAAGACTTTCCTCGACATCGCACAATAATAGAGACGTATCGATGGTAACAAATCCACTCGCTGCGGGCTTCTCCGTTGCTTGTCAAAAGTCCGTGATAGGGCATGATTCTCTAAGTTCCATAGCAACAAACGCAGCCCCCATCCAGGGTTGACGACATAAACCATGGCGATGTCACGCTGCGGGATGAGGACAATCACTACCATCCATGTAGATGACCACTTTGGCCATTCTAGCGAATCAAATGTCGTGGGTGGGAAAGTATACCAGAATGTGTCAATGGAAAAGGGGGAGTTGTGATCAGGATGGCGTAATACGCAGCGAGTAAATTCTGCAGATTTCGATGCAAGAGCTGTCACAGGAAGGCGTCAAACTAAAAAATAAGATGACGGCAGACAGTGTGACTTGGCATAGATCCGCCCGCCATCACCGTGGAACCCGCATATTAGGGACGAAAAATAGCTGACGTGCATTCCCAAGTAACCAATCATTTCCAAGCAAAGACTGCGGAGGTGATGACACTCAAGCGGCTGAAAGTGCACATGTAAGCACTAGAGGTTTAGAGTAAGATGATACGATACATATGTAAATCCGCGTTGAGATTCTTGAGGCATACATTGAGCTACTACAATATACCTATGATAGTCTCGCTTAGACTAAAAGTCTCGTCTAGTTAGATACTAACCAGACTGACTTCGTAGACGCGTTAGAAATGCCTACCAACTGGTAGTTTCCAATTAGAGATTTGGAGCGGAAAGAGTACAACGTGGCTTGAGGTAGCAACTACTACCTAGTTACACTCGGCCAGCTCTCAGATGTGACTGCGGGATTACGACACAGGCGGATACAAGGAAGTGCAGATTTAGGCACCATCACAGTCTTTTTCCTTTGCGCCAGCCAATGGGACGCTTGAGATGTCATTTATGAATGTCATGGTATGTTAGGGTATGTTATCCTATTCTGGTCATTGGCTGAATTCCTCTGTGACTGACGCACGGAAACGTAGAAACCCGAGTCAAAGCTGTCCCTGTTTGGTATCCATCAGCACATCAGCAATCTCGCCTCACTCCTTGGATTGGATGAGAGGGTGCTTTTTGATTACGTCGCGGCTACGAAGGAAAAGTAGAAAGAACAAGTATTATTTCTGCCTACATTATGACAGTAAACTCTCACATTATCGCTGAAGAAATTGCTCTTATCATAACACAGTGGCATCCTCGCCAGCGAAAACATCACAATACCTGGATGAGGGTGCGTGAAGCACTTGATAAGCTGTTGCTGCTTCGCAAGACAATGCTACGAGATCCCTAAATAGTCCCTGTTCTTTAGAAAGCATGTTCATCTATATTATTAATAGATCGCGAGTACTTCAATCCTGCTCTCACAATAACGCGCCTGCCTTTCAGATGCCTTTTAGGATGTCTGTAATGTGCCAAAATTCTTGATTTGAAGGGCCGGCCATTGTAGCCATTCAGTCCAGGCTGGCCCTAGAATCTCAGATACCCTCTGCAAGATATGAGGTGCCCATCCTTCCATAAACCAAGCTGCAGAAAGGGTCTGGAGAAGTACAGCGAAATAAGATAACAGAACGAGAGAGGCCGGCTCCTTTTCTTTCAGACTTTTCACAAACTCCTCGGAGAGGCAGTAGAGCCATGCCATGATAACATTAAACTTGGCATCGGCCGTGGCCTTCGGCCTCACAGCCGTGCCATATGTTTCTTGGAAACACCACTTCATAATGGAGAGTGCACCCTGACATGCGCCTCTGACACTTTCATCAGCCACGGCAGAGATGGGGACAGACAAGCAATCAAGGGCGTCTTCCCAATCTAATATAGCACCAGAACAAACATGATGAGGATGAGGAGGCTCATCCTGTCGGTCACCTTGAGTGTCAGACGACGTCGGCGCCAGCTCACCAGCAAATACAGCTTGCATGCCGATTGTCTCCACGATGATGCGGACGCCCCTGAAGAGGTCCCACCAAGACACCTCGCCGCCGTCTGCGACGACTAGCAAGTTGTCGGGTCCTGGCCGCTTGGCGAAGGTACAGGTGCAGACCAAAATGGTAGCCACGTACAGCTCTGCGCAGTTCTCGGCGCTCAGGTTGGGCAGGATATCGGTGGTGCGACGCAGGCCGATGGCCAGGTGTACTTCTGCGCGCTCCTCGAGCTGACCGCATCGCATGGGTTCCTGTCTTGACAGATGGAGGGCGGAGACGGCGAGAAGCAGATGCAGCACTCCGTGGCGGCGGAATGCAAGCCGGGGGACGCGGTCTTTCCACAGCTGTAGGTCGGGCCCCCCCATGCCGGCACAGACTTCAGTCTGGTAGTGGAAGAAGAGCTCCAAGTCTTCGGCATCCCATGGCAGGTGCAGGGGCCTTTCCACATTCCACGTCGACGAATCTGGTGACGAGCGTGCGAGAGGCGCAGACGTTGATAAGGCGGTGGTGGTATTAACTTCGGAGGGAGAAGCAGTTCTTCGCTCAACGGCCACGACGGTCCAATTTTTGCGTGGTCTACCTCTCTTTCTCACTTCTAGGTCTCGCGTTTCTAGCTGGGAGCCAGAGGAATCATAATTGCAACGTTGGGATAAATGGGAGCAGGTGCCGCAGATGGGTTTGCTCTCATCGCACTAAGCAGCCCATTACATGTCTCAGTAAACGTCAATTACAACTGGCAAGGTATCCTAATCTTACCTTAATCCTTCGCCGCTTGCACTGCTGACAACCATTTCGCGACTTCTTGTGCGGCCTTCTTGTTCTCACGGCCTCGACTTGGTCGGATGTCGTTTTCGCGGTGCCAGGGGGAGCTAGATTTTGCAGTCCATCGTCCCAGTTGCCATGTTCCTCCATGGCCAAAGGGCTGATTTCAGATGACGTGGTCAAACAGGGGAGGGAGCCTGGGTTTACCTGAATCTGACAGGCCGTGGTATGAGTTAGGCGAATGCTTTGCCTTGGAATGCCGGTACTTAAAATACGTATCCCAGTATGACGCTCATATGTAGGTCTAATCGTCGTGTCAAGATATAATTTCAAAAAGAGCCAAGTTAGTTTACGCTAGAAAATTTCCTGCTTCCGAGGTAGTTTTTGCCCCTGAAAGCAGGCAAAATGTACCCCGTATTCCCAAGTATTGCCCACCCAACTCCGTCTCGCTAGACCACCTGCTACTCCGTAAAAATAATACGCATTTTATGGGACCTTACAAAAACTACGCTAATTAACCACCGATGTCAGTTCCCCAAGAGAGATCCATGCCTTTTCGCCTCAGAAACGGACACTACGCAGCGATCGCTCTTTGCTCCCTCATATTGCCTCACCCCATATGTAATCTCGGAATGATCCAACTAAAAACTGAAGAAGTTAGTTTTATTTTCCCGGCACTGACGGTTTAGCTAGGGGAGAGGGTGTGGATATGGTCAAGCAAGGCTAGATAAACAGCTAGGTCCACATATAAATACGCATTTTTGTGATTTTCGGTACAAAAAATGCGTATACATTAAATGCCGTGCGTGTCTCCATATTAATTATGATGGAACCATCCTTATGGGGTTGACTCTACCATGACTCTGCACAGTTTGGAAGGGGTATACGCCTATAAAGCACCCTCAGGGAAGCATGTTAAGAAGACTCTGTGAAATTTCCCTCCTCAAGTTTCCACTCCTTTGCATTCTTCTTTGTTGCACCAAGTCATTATGTCCAGCCCCAAGTCTGACGGTCAGTCTTATCCCGAGTCAAGCTCTTTGCCGCCATATCCAAACGCCCAACCCAACATCCATCCCCATCACTACAGCGAGCAAGGACAGGCGATGAATCCTGATGCAGGAGAGATCAGGGGCGGTGATTGGGAGTCAGGCCTATGTGACTGTTCACCTTGTGGGTCCTGTTGTCTCGGTTCCTTCGCGCCATGTCTGCGTAAGTATTCTTCCCAAATACAAAGACTCTTGCTTTTGAGCATTCTAACTTACAGCCTATGATCCAGTTGTTGGGAGAACCGCTTCTAGACTGCAAGACCCTACTTCCCAGTCTCCCGATATGTGTAACGGCGACTGCATGATCCATGCTGGCCTCTCGCTACTTTTTGGAAGTGGTTGGATTTACACCATGATAAAACGAGGTGATATCCGCCAACGTTTTGGAATTCCCGGGAGTGGGTTCGGTGATTGTTGCACGGCCTTTTGGTGTCAGTGTTGCCAGATCATCCAAGCTGATAACGAGGTTAAAGCTCGTTTGGCCCCTATGGTCGATAGAAACGGCTACAAGCAGGTGGGAGGTATGGTCGCTCATCAGAAATGAATGCTTGGTTCCATATGGCAGGGTTTTTCTATTTTTCAATATTTTAAACAAATTTTCCATATGTTATTAGTCTAGAGTTTCGCGGGGACGGATTAAATCGTTGGAATCCTATGTTTTGGCCGGTATAATATCGTACATTGCAGTGCGGTAATTCCCTTTTATCCAAATTAATATTAGCTATGCAGACAATTGCTTCATCAGACACATATAAGCCTTAATCGAAATTTCATGATTTTAACGAATACTGTAATTACCGAGATGGCCACACTCAAAACGTAGCGAGGCCCATCCAATATCATTTGCGTCTCAGTAATGTTACCTAGTAGTCATGCATCGCCCCCTGTGAATACGCATTTTTTGAAATTTTGTGCGTATCGCCTTTGAAGGGGCCATGACGTAGTAGATTGTATCACATACAGGTATAAAGGAGCGCCGCCCCGAGAATATCGAGTTCTTCTCTTCCGTCCCATCATCTCATCATTCTAACGTATGCTTCTTCATTGCTTAGAGATGGCTTCTCTGTTAGCAAGTCAGGGATGTGTTCCCGATACATTCTCATCTCTCTCACTGTTCGGCGCGGAGATCCTCTCGATCAGTGCTGACCCCGTCGTTGGCTTCAGCTACCCTGTCCTGGATGGGTGGCGGTATTCCCAACCGTCACATGCTGTCGACAATGCCACCTTCTGCAATATCACGGTGACATATACACATCCTAACCAGGGTGACACCATCAATGCCGAAGTGTGGCTGCCTCTTAAAGACAAGTGGAACCAAAGGCTACAGGCTATTGGTGGCGGAGGTTGGGCAGCCGGCCGTTTTGTACTGGCTTATGCGGGAATGGCCGGTGCTGTCGTTGAAGGCTACGCCACTGCATCGACTGACGCCGGCGTGGGTGACTCGTCTCCAGCGGAATGGAGTCTCGTGAGCGAAGGAAATCTAAATCTTGTCGACTTAGATAACTTCGGACAGCGATCATTGGGTGATCTAGTAAGTGACTTGATACAGCAAAGAATGCGTAGGCTAAATTTATACTAATTACCTCCGCAGGCAGTCATCGCCAAGAGTGTTGTTGAACAGTATTACGGCAAGCCCGCAGACTACTCCTACTGGAATTCCTGCTCAAACGGCGGGCGTCAGGCTGCTATTCTCGCTCAACAGTATCCTGAGGCTTACGATGGTATCATTGCCGCAGCGCCAGGCCTATTCTGGGCGGAGTTAGCCATCAGTTCTATCTGGCCGGCAGTCTTCATGGATCTGACAAACCAGTACCCGCGTAACTGTGAGTTGAATCAACTTACATCGCTGGCTATCAAAGAGTGTGACAACATTGATGGTGTCGAGGACGGGCTTATTTCAGATCCTGAAGCCTGCCGAGCGATCTTTAACCCCTGGAACTATGTCGGTACTACTTTCCACTGTCAGGACATTGAGGCTGTTCTTGATATGGAGATTAGCCCTGCCGCTGCATCAGTTGCTGAGGCTACCTGGAGCGGTGCAAAGTTTTCGAATGGAGACTTCATGTGGTATGGCTATGAAATTGGTGTCGACCTGTCTACCGCTGCTGGAACAACTTGTAACGAAACATGCGTCCCAGCTGGACGATCAACTGCAGCTTTTTGGTACCTCGAGTATGTTGAAAGAGATCTCAAGGCGAACGTAACTACTCTTTCCCTCGCCCAATTCGATCATTTATACCTCACCCTCAAGAAGACCTTTGCTGGATCTTTGGAAGCCGCGGAACCACGTATTACTCGTTTCCAGGAAGCCGGTGGAAAGATGATCACGTTCCACGGCCTTGTAAGTGTATTCCCCGTCTCCGAAACAGGCAGCTTGGACAGGGACATGACTGACCTAGCTTGATCAAAGGCGGATCCCGCAATCACACCCGGCAGCACTCTCCAATACTACAAGTCAGTTTCGGAATTGGTTTCGAATGTTACCGACTTCTACCGCTACTACCGAGTTCCCGGTCTCGGCCACTGCTGGGGTGGCAACGGCGGTCAACCCGTACACCTTTTTGACCAATTACGAGAATGGGTGGAAAATGGAACGGCTCCTAATTCCAGTCCAGTCACGGTTAAACTGCCCACAAACAAGACTATGGATCAAATTCTGTGCCCTTGGCCCAAGAAGGCTGTTGTGAAGCAGTCTGAACTGAACGGTACCTGGGCGTGCAACTGAAGTCCCGATACAAAGGGCTTGTGTCTTACCTCAAGTAGGTAGTATAATCGGGATATTATTATACTCTGAGGTTAGAAACTGAACTTGACGGGAAAATTTCTATTCAGCTCAACCCACAAGCACACTATAGGAAGCTCCCGTATGCGTCCCATGCTCGATTCAGTCCTTGTATATCCTGACCTTGTAGTCGTCCAGCCATTTGTCTTTAATTATCACTAGCTGAGAGGCCTGTACCTTCTTTAGATATTCATCCTCCGGGGTGTCCTTATAGTCTTCTCTATCAATATCCACAAATCCCTCTTCGGCGATTGTGCGAGGAGTTATCATCAGAGAACGGCCTTTGAGAATTGTTAGTACATATAAAGCCCCTGCAATATTCTTCTCGCTGACCATTTATAGACTTATCGGTAGCAATTCGCAACATGCAGCTTGAGACATCCTTCTGCTCGCCAAACTCGACCCCATTGTCGATAAGCCACTTTTCGTACTCGGCCGTTCGGATGGCACTCTTGATCCAACATGGTGCCACGTAATTAATCCGTATAGATTGCTCATGACTGGATCTTCGAACTGTTCTCATGAAGCCACGCAGTCCATATTTTGTGGCCGTGTACTCCCAGTTACCCTGCCGCATCTCAGTCAGATACAAAACTGCTGCGCAGCCGAAATGTTTACTTACGGGAGAGTCTATCCACGCCACCATGCTGCCTGTGATGATAAAGCATCGGTCTCTCTCATCATTCACCGGCTGCTTGCGGAAATAATGAACCGCCAGTTTCCACGTGTAGAATGTCCCGTCAATGTTGACGCGAACAATGTTCAAGTCGGGTTTTGTTGGCTCGCCATCAGGGTCTAGGATCTGTCAGTCGAACTCTTATTACGAGCGACTCATTAAGTAACTTAGCGTGCACGCCAACACTCACCGTCCAAGTTCCACAAACTGTCGCCAGAGCTCCGGCTGATTCCAGCGTTTGCAATCACAACGTCAACACTGTTGCTCGGACTCTGGCTTTTGGCCTTTTCAAAGACTGCCTTTTGTTGGTCCCAATCTCTAATATCGCATTTCACGAACTTGCATGTTGTTCCATTAGCATTGAGCTCTGCCTCAATTGCTTGGCCACGCTGCTCGTTGACATCTGCAAAGGTCACGTAGGCGCCAGCAGCGACGAAGTCCCTCACGAAGGCTTCACCCATGCCATTGGCTCCCCCAGTAACGATGACCGACTTTCCCCGTACATTTTCTAGTTTGGGAGCGACTGTGTGGTCTATGGGGCCAATGTAAGAGTAGCGATCCAGAGTCATGGTTAATTAGATGTTATTCAGTGAGAGATGCTCGATTAGCTTAGGTGACCGAAGATATAAGTGACACTATAGAACATTGCCGAATAATTAATGGCGACTTTTAGGCTACATATGATGGAACAGTAATCGAGCACTTCGAAGAACTCCCCGGTAACGTAGAGCTGATTTCGGAGGGCTGTTGCTCTTCCGGACATCGTTTACCGACCCCGCACTTGACCTCCGCTATCGACCAAGAGTCGGTAATCCAAACTGGGATAGCCGAAGTCACGGAGACTATGTGATTTTTTGGTTGCCGAACGCTTGTACAATAGCAGACAGAGCTTCGGCAAGTATGCTGGGTCATGGATTGCTCTCGGAAGAAGCCTTGCACGGCCCCATGGCACGGTGGCCCTAGACAGACTTTGCCGAACTGGATAGGGGCAGTGGTGGCAAGCCGCTTCTTGTAGACTGCTCCATAACGTAGCCCCTCGTGCGTGCGAGATCCTGTCACCTTTCAGATATAATGCGCGTCCCAGTGAAAAGTTAATGTATCATAACGACAGAGACAAGGCAGAAAGTCGCACATATCCCTTTACGCCACCAAGTATCCTTTACCATGCCTGCCTTCGATGAGTCTCCAGAGTCCAAGGCCCAAGCGGCCCATGATATGTCGGGGATACCAGCAACAGAGCTTCCGGAGCTCGTCATGAAGACCGATGAGATACGTAATGGAGCCAACGGCCATACCAACGGCCATACCAATGGGCATAGCACAGATCCTTTCAAGCTCAGTCAAGAGTTTGCATACACACCACGCAGAATCAAGGTCATCACCATTGGTGCCGGCTTCTCTGGTCTCCTCATGGCACACAAATTCCAGCATCGCTTTCCCGAGATGGAGGACATCGTAGATCATACCATCTTTGAAGCCCGAAGCGACATCGGTGGTACATGGCTGGCGAACAATTACCCCGGAGTTCAATGCGACGTCCCAGCTCATATCTATGTATGTTGATCCCATTTTTATCGCTGGTGCTTGATCTAATCACATGCAGGCATTTCCTTTCGACCCCAACCCCAACTGGGAGAGGTTCTATGCCAGTGGAGGTGATATTCTGTCATACATGAAAACAACAGTCAGGAAATGGAACCTTGATCGTGACTTGCAGCTCAACACCCGAGTCGTCGGGGCTGAGTGGCTGGATAACTTAGGCCAATGGAAGGTCACCGTAGAGCACGAAAACATCCAGAGAGAAGAGTATTGTCACGTGTTAATCTCAGCCCAGGGAGTACTCGTGTGAGTCAATACATCTCCCCATTTCCATGTGCAACGGAGCTAACTGCCCATAGACACGAGTCGTGGCCAAAGATTCCCGGACTGAAAGACTTCAAGGGACATACGACTCATTCAGCAAGTTGGGATCACAACTACGACTATTCCAACAAGCGCATAGCTGTTATTGGCAATGGCTCGTCTGGCATCCAAATAGTTCCTCAGATGGCCAAGCTACCTGGTACAGAGGTCACCAACTTTGTCCGAGGCCCTGCATGGGTCTTTTACCGGGCTCCTCCCTCAAAGCATCTAGGCAGAGAGGATGATGACCCAAACCCTCGATACTCGGAACAAGACAGAGCCCGCTTCCAAGACCCAGAGCTTCATCTTCAACACCGCAAAGGCATCATCTCACGGACCAACAAGTCCTTTTACATCTTCAGAAGAGGCGAGAACAATGAAGCTGGCATGAAGATGGCTGCAGAGCAAATGGCCGAGAAGCTTGGTCATGATCCCGTTCTATGCTCTAAACTGATCCCCAAGTGGGAGTTGGGCTGCCGTCGTATAACACCTGGGCCTGGATATCTAGAGTCGTTCCTGCGACCAAACTGTCATTTGACAGATAGTGCAATCACACAAGTAACGCCTAATGGCCTTCGGACTGCTGATGGGAAGGAGCATGAGGTGGACGTCAGTGAGTAAATCCCATTCTACCTGATTACTGGCTATTACAAGACTGACCGACTCGCAACTAGTCATTTATGCTACCGGTTTTGATGTCTCTTTCCAACCACGGTATCCCATCATCGGCTTGAATAACGTGGATCTCCGAGAACAGTGGAAGGAGGATCCCGAAGCCTACATCTCAGTCGCCGTACCGTCCATGCCCAATTACTTCATGATGATGGGGCCAAATTGTCTCGGCGGCCACGGGTCACTCGTAGAATCTCTCAACTGGACAGGGGACTACTTTGTCAAGTGGATCAAGAAGATGGCAGCCGAGGACATCAAGCACGTTGTCCCCAAGCAAGACAAGGTTGACGCCTTCATCAAGTATTGCGACCAGATCCACAAGACCCTCGTCTGGAGTGGCGGTTGCACCAGCTGGTACAAGAGAGGCTCGGTTGACGGGCGGGTTACAGCGCTGTTTGGCGGCAGCGCCCATCTCTTCAATCGAATGCTCGGTGATATCCGTGCCGAGGATTTCGACATCACTTACAATACTTCTAACCCGTTCAGGTTCATGGGCAACGGTTTTACGGCTTTTGAGATGGATCCCGAGAGTGATCTGTCTTGGTACGTAGAGAAGGCAGAAACGCTTCGATGTTAATATTGTAGTCAATAGACCGTATACCTTTAGTTTAGTCCGATGAGCTGATGTAGCAGCATTTCACTTATTTATGTCTGTTGAAGAAGCGCTTATAAATACAGTATTTGCCATCTACCTACGATGTGATTCTATGCCAACCCTGCGTACAGTTACAAGATGTCCAAGTTGACACTTGAGAAATCAAAATTATAATCAACAAATGGCTCCAACAGATCCTGATAACGATTAAGCAAGTCTTCGTGAAAGATCACATTCTCTGGTGAAGGCAGGGCGGTTGTAGTGGTGCCAAACTCATTGTCGGCAAGGAGGCAATCAGCAATCCGACCAGTCGATCTCGTCACGAAAGGGAACAAACGCGACCAGTCAAAGTCGACCGACATGTTTGCCGCTCCTCGGCCACCATTGCTTTGCCCATTAGGCTCACTAGCTCTACTTCGGCCGGGGTGCATCATGGTACGAGGTAACGCCCGAAGCCGTTCAAAGCCCTGTCGTATGATATTGGCAGATGCCCACATGTTCTGAAGCTGCGCAACCGCCTGATCCAAGATGTCCAGGCCCTCCTCGGCCTCCTGCGAGAACTGCTTGATTCGACTCGCTTGGAGAAGAGCGATGAAGGCTGTGCCGCAATACCAGCACGTAATAGCCATGAGAAAACGTGCGTTTCCACGGGATAAAATATCTCGAAGAACCCTAGCAATACATGACGCAGCCAAAATGGCTGGTGGGAGAGCCTGTGGCAGATCCGGGGTTGTTCTTTGAAGATGCATGACAATGATGGTTGTGAGATATGGAAGATGCAATTGATGGACGTCGCGGTCAAACGATTGCGTACGGCTTGAACCAATGGGAAGCTGAAGATCCGGTGGCAATGATTGAACCCAGTCAACGAGCTCCTGTCTCAATTCCGTAGGGAATGGAGCAGAGGTCGAGTCCGCCGACCTGGACAGTGCCTGGGAGACTTTCCCCATGATGCCGCATAGTCGGACCCAATACTTAAAAATGCGGCCTTTTTTCTGCGATGCGGGATCGCTTGGAAAGTCGGTCGGTTGGACCTCCTTGATCGTCATGTCCTCTGGGCATATGATACAAGGTTTACTTTGACACAGAGACGTCAATCGTTCGCGCGCCTATCGTTCGAACGTTAGCATATTCTCAAATAGAATCAAGTGGCAAACTTACAAATACAGTCCACCATAACCGTCTCCGCAAGCTGAGATGGAGTTTGCTGGCTGCTTCTCCATGGGGCTCACGATGAATGTTCATCTGTTGCGCATGCCTTATGATGACCGAAGTCCACCACCAAGACGCATGACGATGAGCTGTAGCAGGAGACCGAGGTGCCCACCAGTAAAATAGAGAAATGGCTTTCAGTGCCACAAGTATGTCTGGCTCTTCATCCTCATAGAACATCATTCTCGCTTTCTTGTAGTACGACTCTGGCCCTTCATGTGGGATCAGAGGGGGCTGTATGTGGCTCGCGGCAAGTGCAAGAGCATTCGCAAGCATGGGAGACCTTTCTACTTCAGACTCAAGTGTCTGGCGATCAAGAACAGGACACCATGGGTAGCAATACTCGAAGTACGTTTCAGAAAAGCTCTGCTGAAGTTCCTGCTGCCGAGGATCTGATGCTGGGCTTCGAGCCTCGAAATTTGCGACTAGTTCTTGCTGCTCGGCCTCGAGTTGGTTCTCGGGCCCGTAGATTTGGAGGAAGCCCGTATCGACATCGCCTGCATGGCTGCGGCCGGCGCCTTCTGTTGGCGAAGTGCTCGACTGGGTCTTATGGGTGATCGCAACGTCGGGGGGAGGCTCAGCGGGGGGCAGAGCAAATACCACCCCACGAGTCGAGGCAGCCGCAGAGACTGGCGACTCGACCATTCCATGATCTGCAAGTTCATCTACAAACTCGATAGCCGCGACATCAGGCGGGACTGATATATTTTCGTCTACATCTTCTCCTTGGCGTTGTCAATATGGTTCTAGTGGGAGCAATGAAAGGCAAAGGGAATAGCTTACCGCCCTGGACAATAATCTCAGACTCCGTCCCGCATTCTGCTTGAGTGGAGACTCTTCGCCGCTGCTTGCCCCTCTTAGACGGCCGAAGGTGGCAGTCCTGATCCTGGTTGTCACAGTTGGAGCATCGCGCGTGGCCTTGGGAGCTTCGGCTCTGGTACACACAAGGTCAAGGCGCGTTCGGAACAGAACTACATGGGGCAAGTTTACCTGCAGATCACACTTGATCTTTTTAGAGTGACAGAAGAAACAAACAGCTTCAGCACGCTTCCGTTTCGGTTGTTGGGCTGCAAAATGGAGCCAGTTACCGACGAGCTCTGTCATTGCCGGATGGTCGAGAGAAGAGAGTGTAGGTTTCAGCAGATGGTAGCCGAGAGCAACCCCATGCATTAAATTCAAGTAACCGCC